TAAAATTATTGCAAAGTATTCTTGCACTCTCCTTTGATTAATCTAATATAAAATTTTTATCACTATCAACCATAGAAACTACTCTTTTTGCTAAACTATCCAATTTCTACATTGGTCCACCATCATTAGGAATTGTAGTATTCAATTAACTTTAATTTTTCTTTTTTAATGTTATGCTTTCTTAAAAGGAAAGTAATAAACACAACATTAATTGTGGTTATTCTGAATGAAACTCACTTACAGTATGTAAATATATTTACTAAAATGCACATACAAGTATTGTTATGCCATAATAAAAAGACATAGGATTTATTAAAAGCTGATTTTATGTCTACACTTACTTAATAAGATCTTTTGAAAGGTATTAACATATCATTAATTAAGCATAAGAAGCATGGTTTAAGTTTTCTTAATTCAAAATTATTAGACAGATCAAATCTATTTGAATACAGAATATAGTTCCAATCATTTTAGCTCTCAATTTAGCATAATGAAATAGCATAACAAAGGGGGATAAAAGGCATATGATTACCAAACATAATAAATTACTTGTATTTCTATTTTCGACATAGAAATAAACAGAGTAACAAAATGACATCCAATGAATTGCTTATACTTTCACAAATTATCTGTCTATCATATTATAATATCCTTGACTTTACGATAAAATATTAATATAAAAACTTATTATTACACGATAAAATAATCACTTTCTACTTTAACACATTTCATTTATCTTATTTAATGTATATTTATATAACTATCCTATTCATTATTAGTAAAACTAATTAATTTTATCATCTTTTCTGCAATTTCGAAATTTTAAGTAATATATTTTCTAATTTAATGTCTTGAATTCAAAAAATAAAATTCTAATTATCCGCTTTTATAAATTTCTTGTTGTCCATTTTTCATTACCTAATACATAAATTAATTTTCAATTGATACAATAAAAGTCATAAATACAAAAATTATTATTTTATATCTAAAAATTTAAAGAAACATATTAATTGAGTAATATACTCATGATTGATTATTATTATAATGATCACGAGATGGAATACTAAAATTATAAATGATTTATTTATGTAATTCTGAATCTATAATTATCTTCTCCATTTATATTTATATCATATTTACCATTTCTTTATTCTTATCTAAATTCTATTCTCCTATGACTTTTTTTATCCAATTACTATTATATTTATTCAACCGTTTTTAGATTTATTATGCTTTATTTAACTACTAAAATTTTAGTACTTTGCTATTATTTTATAAAGCTTCTCTTTCTGATTTCAATATTTTTATTGCATTCTATATATCAGTTGTTTAATTTAAGACATTTTATATCTATTCAACTGTATATTCATTTCCTAATATTATTTGAATTTATTCAAGTGATGATTTTTCTAATTTTTTCGATCCTTTAATAGGTAAAGGCTTTTTAGCAAAACTCATAACAAATTTATAATTATTTTCAACTAATTAAAAATAACATTTAAATCATCTTCTATAACGAGGTTTCTTGAAATTAAACCATAAATGAAGGATGCCTCTAGAAAATACTGATTTAAATCCCATACGATCTGAATAATCCCATTCTTTGCATAAAATTTAAAATGCTAAATCCTCATAAGGTGGGCCTGCAATAAATCTGATAATACAATAATCTGGATTTTCACAAGTTTCTAAAGTATATTTAGGAGCCTTAATATATATATTAAAAATAATACTTATGTTTTATCAATTAATTCTGGATAAAAAACATTAAATTTATATCCTTAAATAGTTTTAGGTGGAGGATTATCAACATCATAATGTGTTTTATTATACATATTCCAATCGAAACCCATTTTAACTCTATTAAAATACTAAGGACGTTTTAATTTATATTTTTAACTCCATGATGGTTCTTATCTTTAAGGTACAACTTCATTAAAATATACTTCATCTTCTTCTAATGGTTTTGATCTTTCATATTCAAACATTTATTGAGCTAAAATATCTAAACCTTCAACATTATCTTCTAATTTTCTATTATTTGGTATTGAAAATTCAGGTAATTTATTTTATTTACCTTTTTATTTTTCTTTTTCTTTTTCCTTTTCTTTTTTCTTTTTCAATTATTATTTTTCTAATTCAATTTTTGCATTATTTAAAAATTCAGTTAATATTGTTATTCTTTAATCTGTTAATTATTTTAAATCATCATTTTCCAATATATAATCATCACAATCTACAGGATCTGGACTAACACATTCATATTCTGTTTATTCTTAAATTTCAACCTAATAATATTATTTCTCTGTAGCATTTCTTTCTACATTAATTTAAATATCTTTTGTATTAATTCCTACATCTAATACCAATTAATTATCTTATCTCATACTCTTATATTTTAATTCTTTACAAAAAACTTCATAATAATTTTTTAATATTGTTTTAGCTTTAATTACTTTTAATTTCTTTAAAATCTTTTCCCAATAATCAAAATCTATTTTATATTCAGCTCCATAATTTAACATTTAATTAATTTCTCCTTCCAATTCATCTAATCCTTCTCTAGATTTCCCTTCAAACATTTTCTTAATATCCTATTTGAATTCACTTTATATTCCAAACTTAGGACATTTTGGATCTTTCTCTCTTTATTCTCTCCATTCTACTTCTGCTTATGCTATTGATATTATAGATGCCCAATAATCTTAAAAATTACTTTTATTATCTATTTCTATAGCAAATTATTTTTTTGATTCATTTAGAATTACTTTTTGAGCTTCATGTCCTAAAGTCTTAATAAATTAAGATGGATTATGCATTATTTATTCTAATTATTTTTAATGTCCAATTTAACCCTAAAATTATAAGTATATATATTACTTTATAAATACAACAAATTCTAACAAATTTATCAAAAGGAAGTTCTCTTTATTATTAAATTCTAATTAATGGTCTTAACTTTTCAACTTTCTCAAAAAATGCATCTTCATTATCAATCCATTATTTATAATTTTCCATTTACCTTTCTTTATTTAATCTATTTTTTTCTTCTTCTAATTTTATTTTCTCTTCTTATTTCTTCTACCTTTATGATTTAAGTTTTTCTATTTCTTTTAACATATCATCTAATTTCTCTTTCAATTCATGTTCAGATATTCCATGTAAACCCTTTTCATCTAATTTACTTTTCCATATTAAAGACTTAGCCAAATTTTTATCACCATAAGGATTGTCTTAATCAGTATAACCTATCTTTTATAAATATTTTTGCTTCATTTTATCTAATGAAGCATAAGCCTTTAACAATTAATTTTTTGTTTACATCTTACTACTCTTTTGATATTTCTTTAATTATTAATGTTTTCTTGAACTCCTTGATCTAGATTATGATGAAGATGATGATGAAGGTGAAGAAGATGATGATGAAAATGATAGTGATTCAGCAGATGATGCTGAAGATGATTCATTAGCTTGTCTTTTTTTTAAATATTCTGTCATTTATTAAATTAATATATATATATGCACATTATTAATTTAAATATTTTTTAATCCATTCATTATTAATCACTTTATTCATTATGATAAGAAATCTAGAATTTCATAATCAATCTAATTTTTATTTCCCTTTATTATTGTTTTATCATCATTTTTATTATCCTTCAATATAGGTACAATATATGTGTATTAATAAAGTTGATAATAAATTTTTCTATGAAAAAGTAAAGAAATTCAAACGAAAATTTGAGAATAGAATATATATGATTATTGTGCTAAATTCTCCAATTTTGTATGCTTTTAAATCAAATTTATTCCTGTTTATTAAGATCTTATTTTAAATATTTAAAAGGTAGATAAGAATATATTTAGAAATATATTTGATTATATATATGATATATCATGTTATAAAAATAATGATTTATATGCGTTTACACTTTATTTGTTAGAGTTCTTAAATTTATATCAGATCAAAAATATCATAATTTTATTTATAAATTATGGTGTTAAATTTCTTTATGACGTATCGAAATTTAATATATTAATTTTAATTAATTGGTAATTTAAATCAGAATTAATGTTTTTTTTGTTTTGAATAGATGAATAAAGAATATAATAAATTTAGATTCAAATTCTTAAAAGAGTTTTTTTGATGATATTCTTATGCCTTAAATGATTAGACTTTTGCTAAATTTTAGAGTTGTAAATATATTGTATAGATTCTTTTTTAAGAAAATTCATACTAAAAATTAATAATATGTTTTTACGTAAGAATACGAAAGGTTTTTAAAAACTCTGGGTTGCATGTATGTTTGATAAGATGTGTCAAATTGCTAAGTTTATTTTTTAGGGATTAAATAAGTTCAAGAAATTCTTATCCTTTCTATTCACCTAAAATCTTTAAAATGATAATTTGTTGTCTTATAGCATAAGCAACGATTGCTTTAGCAAAATTCTTATGAAAATTGGTTTTATCAAGGATTTTGACAATATTTTTTGTTGATTTATATGGTTATTTATTTTTGTTGATAGCAAAGTCCATTTTGTCATTCTCAATTGAAGAATTATAACTCTTTTCTTAATCAGTATCATAAACTTGATTGCTTTGAGGATTGTAATTAGCCTAATTTTAGAATAGATTTTCCTTATTTTCAGGTAATAGTTGATTTAAAGGTTGAATGAAACAATAGTAGATTGGAAAGCACATTTGTGTTTAATAGAATGGAAAGTAGATATAAGGTTATTAAGAATAGAACATAATTAAGGTATTTATATTTAATGGAGTATACAATTATAGTTTTATATAGTATTGCTATAATGAATTTTGCGTTTTTATTGATAAGAAAATAATATTAATATCAAAAATTTTTTTTTGTAGTTTTTGTAAAACTTAAATTGTAAGGGATTAAAATTATGATATTCATAATTTAGATGAATGATCATTTAAAAAAAAGAATTTTAATAAAGATAAATTTCTTCTTATAATAAAAATAGAACTTAAGAAATCAGATTTTGATTAGATTGTTTTTAATTATATGTTTTCCTTTCAAATGACTGGTTTTCTATTAGATTTTTGAGTTATAAATATAGCTAACACAATCTTTTCTCAAAAACTTATTACTAAATACTATTAATTAATATTTTACCATAATATTCTAAAAAGTTTAATGAAATCTTCATCTCTAGTATATTTCCTTATATGTGTTAAATTTCTGATTTTATTTTGGATTTTGTTAATGACTCTATAAAAATTAATAGCTTTTTTTTAGCCTAATTCCTTTACAATAATTGGATTCTGTTATTTAATATATAGAATGATTGCCTTGGCATAGTTTTTCTATAAATTAGTTGAGCCATTCAATTGATTAACTAAGTTACTTTTCTCTAGATTCTCGTTTAAATGCATAACTTTATAATCTTCATCATTTTCATCTTAATCTTCCTCATCCAGATTGTAATCATAATTATCTTACACTTCTGGAGGCTTTGTTTCCTCTAAATGTTGTTTAGTTATGATATTAAAACAATTCTAATTTGATACTTCTTATTAAATTGGCTACATTTAACTTTAAATAACTATTTATTATGGATAGACAATGTAGGGAGTACAAGTTTGTATTGGATAATAACAATACATAGTTGGGTAAGGAAATGCATAATTCTACATTGAGGATGTTTGGTTTTGTAAAATTAATTAATGAAATAATTTGCGTTTCTTTGCCTATAAAAATATCAAATTTTTTAACTGATCAAAGATCTTACTTGAGAAGAAGGATTCTAATTGTCTTATTTTGAGTAAAAACTATATTATAATAACTATTTAATTCCAATATACTCAATTAATAATATTAACTAATCTGTGATGTAACTGACTTTTAAAATAAATTTCAGTTACATCAAAGAGTTATTATTTATTTTATAATTTTGTTATTTTATGACTACAACTAATAATACATATATATATTTAAAGAATGAGTCTTACAGCATATAACAATATTAGAAAAAGAATAAGATAAGAAATACAAAAAAGTAATTTTTTATTATTTTTCTAGAAGTCAAATATAAGTTGAGAATTAATATTTTTTAAAGTAAGAGTCATTTTTTATTTTCACTACCACGTTAAGAGTATCATTCGTTTTAGATTCAAATTAAAATTCCTCAAAATTTAGAATTAAACTATATTTTTAGATCATTTAAAGGTTAAAATTATTATATATTTAAATAAAATTTATCTTAATCAATATTCTTCCTTTAAGACCTTAATTTGTCCACTAATTTAATAAAAATATAATAATATTTAGGTATTTCTATTCAATTTAAATATTTTACTATTCTTTTTTTAGATTTATATAATAATTACCTAATTTTGGTTAATAGTTCATTTAATTCAAGTTTATATCTAATTAAGGGTTTTCCATACATTTCTTTTTCATTTTTAGTAGATTATTATAGATTAAAACTCTAAATCACATACTTACTCATTTAAATATAAACCATATGGTATTAATAATCAGGAGTAAAATCTAGTATTTGATGATTTTTTAGAAATTATCAACAGATATTTCTAAGAGTACAATCTATAATTCCGACTTTGATATAGTTATTTTTTGAAAATTGATGAATAGATCAAAATATAAAACAATCATTGATTAAATTCTTTAATTTCATCTTCAGTAATTATACTATTCTTTCTTGGGAAATGATTTTAATACTTTTTTATGACACTTTTTCCAATATGTTTATAAAACATTGACATGGAATTAAACATAAAATCATCTATTAATTAATTATTTATGCTATAATTATATTTACTCATTGTTATTGCTAAGTGTTAAATAAATTTAGTTTGGTAGATATATAATCCAGATAGTGGATCAACATCATAAGATTAATCAATAACTTTTGGATAATACAATAAAGAAATAAGAATTTGGCCTTCAGATGGTAGTGTATTTAAGAGTGAATTTTAATTATCTGGTAATTTGCCTATGAGTCCTCAATTCCCAATTGCAAGAATAAATAGTAAATATATTAGCTTTTATGTTGGAATAACTGAAAATAGTGGAACTACTTTAAGTTTATCTAAAACAAAAAATACATAATATTAGTTCTCTTAGAATGTAATTTCATTTTCACCATCTAATAAACAATGTGTAATAACTCCATCTACTGATTTTAATACAATTCCAGTAGGAGGGAAAAGATAAATAACTTTAGATTTCATTAGTTGTATACCAATTATAGGTTTATAGATTAAAATGTTTTATGAAACAATTAGTAAGACAATTATTCAAAAAAATAGAGAAAGATTTGCTTTTATAGAAGTATCTGCTTTAAATGCAGCTGTAGACACTTCTATTTCTATATCATTTTAAGTGAACTCAACTTATTATTTAATTAGCACAATAACATTAAAGGTGGTTGCGAATTAATAATCTATTCCTATTTCTACAATAGTCAATAAGAATAGTGGAACTTGTACTGGAGCATCAGGAGTATTTACATTTAATTGTGGAAAAAAATCAATGCTTTATTATAGTTATACATATTAGAATTAAGCATTAGATATTACTAAAATAAAAGAATAATTATTATTAAGTAAATAAGGAAAGCAATATACAAATGTTAATTCATATGAAGGATATGGATCAATTTTAATGGCAGATAATTAAAATAAAGATATAACTCTAATTGGATTAAGGAGCAATACAGTTTATAATATAATGGCTATATGTGAAGATGAAATATATTAATAATAATAATCAGCAATATCATTTATTAGATGTGATAGCTAATAAACTGTAAAGAAGATATAAATATAATCATATCAACAATTTCAGACTATCAATTTGAGAGATATTGCTTGTGATCTTATGATTTAATTATCTTTAAAGTAAAATTAAGTTAGTAGTGCAGATGGGATATTTTGTAATAAAATTGCATAATCAAAGATCAATGGAAATAAATAATATTCTATTCCCTAAGTCAGTTAAACACAATTATATACTTATATATTCTTTATATATCCAGACTATTCAACTACATATGATTATAATGTTAACAGTGTCTCTATTTCTCAATATGATATTTCAAAATAATCTATAGAAAAAATGATTCCAAAAATTCCAACTGTTAATTAAGAATTCTTTATTGCAGATGAAAATTTATTAAATTTTACAATAACACTTAAAACAGATGGATTTATTTCAATTGGATTAGATTTATTGTAAACTACACTTCCTGATTTATACTAATTTTCTAATGGATTAAATTATCTAAATAATCCATTTATCAAATTTTATTAGAAATATCTAATAGCAAAACAATAATATTGGTTTTAGTTTAAATTAAGTGATAAAAATGATTATTAGTTAATATATTAACTTGCAGCAGTACCCTCAGATGGAGCTTAATAATCTCCTTTATAAGTAAGAAAATTTACATTATTGTAAATGCAAGAAATGTACAACATTATTATTTGTTTGAGTTTTATAATGTTTTTTAATCTATGAAATAATAATATTGTATAAGTTATTAAATTCCTTTATATTATATAATTATTTATTCTCCCAGATCATTTATTCTCTACCTCAAATTTATATAATTTTCTAAAATTAAATACAATTAGAGCATCATATATTAATTGATAAATAAAAAGACTTACTTAGATAAATATAAAATATATTAGTAATAAAATTATTGGAAACAAAAAATTGATTATTAAATTCATTTTAGATAAAAATATTATTATTATTTTTATGAATAATTATAGAATTACTAGTAGTTATTCGTGTAAGAATTCTTCATATTGAAAATAATATACCTAGAATCTAACCTTTTTCTTTTTAGATTTAATATTCAGATATTCACTTATTAATAGAAATCTTTTAATTATTAATCATACACTTATTTCACTCATTTACTATTAATATAAAAAGACAATATTATATTGGATTATTTATTTAATATAAAAATGAGTATTAAAAGTTCTTTAATTCCAATAGCACATTTTAATTATTAAAAAATGATTGATGTAATATATATAAATTAATTTATTAATTTTGATGAAATTAGTGATCATATTTTTGCTTTGTCATATGCTATATTGTGTAGATGTAGATAAAAACACTTTCTCAAATTACAAAGATGTGAAAACACAACATCTTCATATAGAATGGCTCTTGAATCTTAATGATAAAGTAATTGATGGATCTGTAGAATACACCTTTAAAGTTTATGCCAGTTAATTGACTGAAGTAAGAGAAGTGTGCTAAAGTAGGTTCATTTGGACATTTATAAAATGAATATCCTGTTTGTTTATTATCCAAACAATGGTCAAGTGTTGAAACATCATGTAGAATCTGATCCAATTCAGAAAGAAGAATAAGGAGAGAAGTTGGTGATTGAATTAGGATAAGTATACAAATATGGTGAAATTGTAAAATTTAGAATCAAATATCAAATTGGTGAAGATGCTAGAGCACTTAGTTTTATGGATCCATCATAAACAGATGATAAAAGTATATGGAATTATAAATTATGATTAGAGGCTCCATATTTATTTTCATAATGTGAAGCAAACAATTGTAGATCTATGATTCCATTATAGGATACACCAAGCATTAAATTTACTTATTCAGCAACAGTAATAACTTAATCTCCATTAATAAATGTGTTTATGAGTGGAAATAGATTGTAAACATAAAAATTCTAATTGATGAACAATTATAATATGAATTCAATAGCCAATGTCTTTTAATTTGAATTAAATATCAAGATTCCTGCTTATTTGATAGCTATTGTTGCAGGTACAGTAGAAGAAAGATCTACTGGAACAAGAACAGCTGTAATATCTGAAACTAAAAATATTGAGAAATATTAAAAGGAATTAGAAGATTTAGATAAATATGTAAAGTATTTAGAAGATTATATTGGTGAATATAAATGGGGATCATATAAGATAGTAATATTACCAGCATCATTCCCTTTTGGAGGTATGGAGAATCCACTCTTAACATTTGCTAATCCTACAATAATAGTTGGAGATAAGAGTGGAGTAAGTGTGGCTGTTCATGAAATTGCTCATTCTTGGTTTGGAAATACAGTCACATGTAATAATTGGTCAAATATGTGGATTAATGAAGGATTTTGTGTTTTTCTAGAAAGAAAAGGACTTAAAACATTGTTTGGAGATATAAATTTAGTTCATGTTAATTCTTAAGTAGGAAATAATGAAATGAATGCATTAATAAAAGAATTCAATTCAAGTTAAGATGACTTTATTAAATCATATGCTAGTTTACATCCCAAGACTGAAAATCATAATGCTGATGATAGTTTTAGTGTAATAATATAATATTGTATTTTTAGACAATTCCTTATGAAAGAGGATTTTAATTATTGTATTATCTTGAAAAACAAATAAATGAAACAAGATTTTAATAATTATTAAAGGATTGGTTATAAGAATATGAATATAAGAGTGCAGATGAAAATGACTTCTATAGATTTATGATATTTTGGTTAAAGATAAATTTAAGTAGTGAAGAATTCTTAAGTGTCAAAAAAAGTATAGATAATGTCTATAATAAATGGGTTTATGATTATGGTTAACCACCCATTGAAGAAAAATTTGAGAATCCTGCATCTAAAGATGTAATTGATTTGGTATAATCTTGGATTGATGGTAAAGGAACTAAACCATAAAATTATCAAATCTTTGATGATTTTAAATCAAATCAAAAATAATTATTCTTATCTACCTTATAAGATAAAAATTAAGTTGTTACTGATGCCATTATGGTATCTTTAGAAGATGCATATCATCTTAGTGATTTAACTGATGCTGAATTATTGTTTAGATGGTATACTTTATCTATTAATACAAAATATGCTAAGGATACAACAAATTTATAAAAGATTAGAAAATTTGTTGGTTTAGTAGGAAGAATGAAGATGGTTAATCCAATTTATAAAGCTTTAGATAAGTAATAGTTATATTTATTATATTTAATAGAGAAACTGCAACTTAATGGTACCAAGAGAATTATGCATTTTATCATCCATTAACTAGATAATCAATAGAAAATATAATCAAGAACAAAACTATAATAAAATGATATCAAAATTTAAATATTCATTATTAATCTTTTCTAATAGGACTTAATTAGGGGGAATAGAAATTATTATCTCTCTATTTCGGAATGATGAGTTTCTAACTGGTAAAATCTCGAGCTGTTAACTAAAATACTCTGCCAATCGTAGCCGTAAATTGAGGTAGCTGATTAACAAGAGGAGATGAGTCCCAATTTTCATCATTTATTGAGAAGAGAGATTCATTATAAAAATAACTACTTTGTAATGCTGCTTTAGCTGTTATTCTTTCATCAGGATTTTTCCTAAGCATTGAATGTAATAATTTTATTGCATTCTGATTACTATGTTGTTCTTACTTAACATTAAAGTCAATTAAACATTACTTATTTTTATGGAGTAATTCATCATATGTTCGACCTTTAAATACATTTTTACCTGTTATTCTATATTATTAAATTTATTAAACATACAATCTATAAAAGATGCATCCACAACTAAAGATATCACAACTCTCTGATTATTGATTTCTTACTGCAGAATTTAAAATTTCTGGAGCCACATATCCTGGAGTACCACATTTATAAAATAAGTATCTGTTGATCTTAGTAAATGTAGATAATCCAAAATCTATTAATGTGATTGTATCAAAATTATCTTATTCACCTAACATCAAATTGTCAGGCTTAATATCTCTGTGTATGATCTAAATTATAATTTAAATAAAATTTATGTACTCCAACTGAATGTAAGTAATTTACTCCTTCTAGTAGTCTTCTCATGATTTACAAGATTTGTTTATTTGTTAATTTCTTTTAGATTTCTCCTTACTGATTTTCTAGATAAGTAGACAATGATTGTCCACTCAATAATCTCATAACAATATAGAAAGCATATTGGCTCTAATAAATTTCGATAATCTGAGAACAATATATGGAGTCTTTGACTTTCAATAATATTTCAATTTCTTATTCTAAAGAAGCCTAGAAATAGAAATGGATTAGGTACATAATTTAAAGGTTTAAGAGTGGTTTTATCAATTATTTTGATTGCAACAAATTTCTATGTAAATTTGCAGAAAGCTTTCACTACTCTAGATGAAGCACCTTTTCCAATTTACTCTTTAAAGTCATAGAATTCATAAACATTATAAAAACTTACTTTACAAGCAAGTAACTCTTTAAATCTAAGAAAAAGACATTTTTTACTTCACAAGAATAGAACTATCGTCACTATAAAACTTTTTCTGTTTGTTACCTACATNTAATGGTACCAAGAGAATTATGCATTTTATCATCCATTAACTAGATAATCAATAGAAAATATAATCAAGAACAAAACTATAATAAAATGATATCAAAATTTAAATATTCATTATTAATCTTTTCTAATAGGACTTAATTAGGGGGAATAGAAATTATTATCTCTCTATTTCGGAATGATGAGTTTCTAACTGGTAAAATCTCGAGCTGTTAACTAAAATACTCTGCCAATCGTAGCCGTAAATTGAGGTAGCTGATTAACAAGAGGAGATGAGTCCCAATTTTCATCATTTATTGAGAAGAGAGATTCATTATAAAAATAACTACTTTGTAATGCTGCTTTAGCTGTTATTCTTTCATCAGGATTTTTCCTAAGCATTGAATGTAATAATTTTATTGCATTCTGATTACTATGTTGTTCTTACTTAACATTAAAGTCAATTAAACATTACTTATTTTTATGGAGTAATTCATCATATGTTCGACCTTTAAATACATTTTTACCTGTTATTCTATATTATTAAATTTATTAAACATACAATCTATAAAAGATGCATCCACAACTAAAGATATCACAACTCTCTGATTATTGATTTCTTACTGCAGAATTTAAAATTTCTGGAGCCACATATCCTGGAGTACCACATTTATAAAATAAGTATCTGTTGATCTTAGTAAATGTAGATAATCCAAAATCTATTAATGTGATTGTATCAAAATTATCTTATTCACCTAACATCAAATTGTCAGGCTTAATATCTCTGTGTATGATCTAAATTATAATTTAAATAAAATTTATGTACTCCAACTGAATGTAAGTAATTTACTCCTTCTAGTAGTCTTCTCATGATTTACAAGATTTGTTTATTTGTTAATTTCTTTTAGATTTCTCCTTACTGATTTTCTAGATAAGTAGACAATGATTGTCCACTCAATAATCTCATAACAATATAGAAAGCATATTGGCTCTAATAAATTTCGATAATCTGAGAACAATATATGGAGTCTTTGACTTTCAATAATATTTCAATTTCTTATTCTAAAGAAGCCTAGAAATAGAAATGGATTAGGTACATAATTTAAAGGTTTAAGAGTGGTTTTATCAATTATTTTGATTGCAACAAATTTCTATGTAAATTTGCAGAAAGCTTTCACTACTCTAGATGAAGCACCTTTTCCAATTTACTCTTTAAAGTCATAGAATTCATAAACATTATAAAAACTTACTTTACAAGCAAGTAACTCTTTAAATCTAAGAAAAAGACATTTTTTACTTCACAAGAATAGAACTATCGTCACTATAAAACTTTTTCTGTTTGTTACCTACATGGATAATGAATCCACAAAGTCTATTAGTCTTGGTTATCCATCCCACTGTAGCATTCAACCTGATTCTTAAAATGTATTTGAGGTTTCGTTCACAATTAAAAAGCTAAACTTAGCCATTGAAATTACTTTGAACATACATACAGTATCTCCATTGAAAGTTATTTGATAAGGTTGATTAGTAATAAGGTTTTTACTGTAGGTAAGAAAGTTGAGTATTTCAGTGTTAATGTTATTCATTTATATTAAAAATGAAAAAGTAAACGAAAGGAGAGCCTGATCTTTTGATTGAGTCAATGCAAAAACTAATAGAGTAAATGTGCTAATGTTATTAATGAGTCATATGAATGATAGTAAACAACATTAAGAGGAGATATTTCAATCACTTACACCTACAGATGTTCAAAAAATATTAACAAATTTTGAGGATAAAAACTAAATAATGAGAAAGACTTCAGCAGCTTTTTTATGTGAACTTGTATTTGACAATCCTACAGTTTAAAAAGGATTTTGTGAGATTTCAAATATATTACCTATGGATGGCAAAGTAAGTAATTAATAAAATTAGATTTGTGTAAACAAAATACCATAATCATTATTGAGTTAATCTAAGAATTTGCCAGAAATCTTTGAAACAATAAAAAATGCATAAATACCATTTGATAATGATTTAAATTATCCTTTATGTTGGTATTTTGAAAATTAGAGAGACAAAGTATGGAAAAAGGGTGTAAAATTTATTAAGTTTGAGAAAAGTAATAATGGAGCAAAGAATAGAATAGAAAAGTTTATAGATCCATAGTTACATCTATTTGGTTTCATAATTGCAAATAAAAAAGATATATAATCTTAAGATGAAATAAAGAAAGCAACAATATAAACTAGATAATAATAGAGTGTGTCAACTTATGAATCAAATGTTAAACGAATTCCTAATGTTTAGAAGATGAGACCTAATTCAGGACAATCTCCAATTCAATCAGTTAGTCCATTAATAAAAAGACAAAGAGTAATGAATGCTTCTGTAGATTATGATACTAGTGGAACTAAATCTTCACTTGGAAAAACAATGATAGAAACAGAATAATTATAGACAATCAATGAGATTGATAGACCTAAATCAAAATTAGAGACTAAAAAGAGTACAACAAACAATAATATTTCAAATATCTAGAAGAGATTTAAATGATTATATTTTAATAACTAATAATAAATATAAAATGGCAGGTGTTTTAAAGACTGTAGGTGATTACTTTGAATTAGATAAGTATTAAAATGAAATTGCTCCTATTGTTAAAGAAAATTACGATATGTTGTAAAAGATGATATAGACAAAAGAGAAGGAATGTTTGAATAAGAATTTAGATAATGAATAGAAATACATAGAATGTATGTAAAAGAATGCTGAAAGATCAGAAAGAGCATTAAAAAGACTTGGTAATTAGATAATTATAATAATGAGAATATGGGATTATGTATTGGAAATAAAAAACTTATGAATGTTTTCATAGTGAAGCATACAAGGATAAAGAAATTAAGAATTTTGAAAGATGTAAACCAATAGCCAATAGAGAATTATAAGAAATCTTTTCCAGTTTTAGGTTGTGAATAGTGATGATCATTAATATAAATTTTATTAAAAAAGATATGAATAAATAGCGCAAGACTCAATTGGAGGAATTGCAGGAAAAAGAGAGTAGCTTTGGTAGAGTATTCAAAGTAGCTGGTCCATGTAAATATTGTTCTCTAATGTAATAGTGGTTGTGGCAGAGAAAATGGCAGGAGCTAAGATGTTTGAATTAGTGAAAGTTGGTTGGGATAAATTGGTTGGTGAAATCATTAAATTAGAAGGTGATAATGCATCTATTCAGTGTTATGAAGATACATGTACTTAAAACTTATTTATAAATGATTAGCTGGATTAACAGTAGGTGATCCTGTTATGAGAACAAAGTCTCCACTTTCAGTTGAATTAGGACCAGGTATCCATAAATATAATATTTAGGTATTTTGACTCAAATTTTTGATGGAATTTAAAGACCATTGTAAGTCATTGCTGATCAATCTGCTTCCATTTTTGTACCAAGAGGTGTTGATATTCCAGCATTAGATTAAGATAGAGTTTGGGAGTTCAAACCATCATCTACAATTAAAGTAGGCTCAATGATTAGTGGTGGTGATATCTATGGCTCAGTCTTTGAAAATAATCTCTTTGATGAACATAAAATATTGACAGCACCAAGAGTTTAAGGAAGAGTCACTTATATTGCACCTGAGGGCAATTATACATTAAAGGACAAAGTTATAGAAGTTGAATTAGATGGCAAAAAACATTAATATGGAATGAGTCACTTCTGGCCCGTTAGATAACCCAGACCTATTATTGAGAAATTATAGGGTAACACTCCACTCCTTACAGGACAAAGAGTTCTTGATGCACTCTATCCATCTGTGTTAGGTGGTACATGTTGTATTCCAGGAGCCTTTGGATGTGGAAAGACTTGTATCTCTTAGGCACTTTCTAAATATTCCAATTCAGAATGTATCATTTACGTTGGATGTGGAGAAAGAGGAAATGAAATGGCTGAAGTGCTTAGTGAATTTCCAGAATTAACTATATAAATGAAAGGAAAAGAAGAAAATATTATGTAACGTACATGTTTAGTTGCCAATACTTCAAATATGCCTGTGGCAGCCAGAGAAGCTTCTATTTATACAGGAATCACTTTAGCTGAATATTTCAGAGATATGGGTTTTAATGTATCTATGATGGCTGATTCAACCTCAAGATGGGCAGAAGCTTTAAGAGAAATCTCTGGTAGATTGGCTGAAATGCCTGCAGATTAAGGTTATCCTGCTTATTTAGCATCCAAATTGGCTCAATTTTATGAAAGAGCTGGAAGAGTCAGATGTAGAGGTTCACCTGATAGAGAAGGATCTATTACTATTGTAGGAGCAGTTTCACCTCCAGGAGGAGTATACATATTTATTATCTTTAGGATTTTACTGATCCAGTTACAACTGCTACACTCACTATTGTATAAGTCTTTTGGGGATTAGATAAGAAATTAGCTTAGAGAAAGCATTTTCCATCTGTAAATTGGACTATATCTAACTCTAATTACGAAAAGATTCTTGAACCATATTTCAATTCCTTTGATCCTGAATTTACACATTTGAGAGTTATGTTCAAATAAATTTTGCATGAAGAATCTGAATTAAATGAAATTGTTTAATTGGTTGGTAGAGATTCTTTATCTGAAGATTAAAAGTTGTCTTTAGAAGTATATTCCATAATTTTTATTATTAGATTGCTAAAATCATTAGAGAAGATTTCTTATAATAAGATGCTTTCAGTAAATACGATTATAATTGTCCACTCTATAAAACTATTGGTATGATGAGATGTATTGTCTCATTTTTCGAGTGTGGTAAGAAAGCTATTCTTGAATCATCAGGAGATGCTAAAATCACTTGGAATATAATTTTAAATCAAACTAAACCATAATTTGTCAAATTATCATAAATGAAATTTGAGGTATATATTATTATTATGACTCTTCTTTATAGGATCCAAAATAACCAAAATAAGAATTAATGAATTATTTCACTAAATTCGTAGACGAGATCAAATCAGCATTTAGAAACTTAACAGACAAATGAGTATCAATAAAAAATTACATAAATAATTATTATATGATCAATTTTATTTACATCATTCTTTTCACTTTAGTTTCCGCCAAAACTAATGAAGAAGAATTAAGAGAGGCTGCTTGTGTTATATTTTCCAGATATATACTGCAGGTCTAATCACACTTAGCCAGTCCATTAATAGGAAAATTGATTAAGGAACAGAATTATGATTAGAATGATGCCATTTATATAGTCTAAGCAGCAGCACTTGACAAATGCTTAATTAATGTTAAATAAAGAGAAGTCACTAGAGTAATAATGATTTCTTATCATTTAAGATTCTTGATGGGTTACAAAATTAAGAATTAGATTTAGATAAATATACACATCTCCATGAAAATATTTAATATGACAGATTCATGAATAAGAAAGAATTGGCATAACTTAACTTATTAATTGAAATTATAAAGGATGTTGAAGAATTAATACAAACTTAATGGTAAAAAAGACCTGATGTTGAAAAGAGAAGATAAGAATAATTAGAGTCTGAAGAAATTGATTAAGAAATTTTAAGTTAATTGGATGAAGTACCCATAATAGAATAATTTGACTTCACCAAGTTTTCATTGAAACACATACTTTTAAAAAATAAAGAATATTTAATTTTCGCTATCTTCATATTAGTGCCAATAATTTTAATACTAAATAGTAATTGTATTTATAATTTTAAGGTTGTTGTAAATCTAATCCTAAAAAAGATAAGAAGATATCTGAAAAAAATGAAAAAAAGGATTCTACAAAGTCAAATCCTGAAAATGAAGAAAAGAAGAAATCATCATAAGCTAAAAAAAGTGAGAAAACAGAGAAAAATAAAAGCAAAGAAGAATGAGTAGCATATTTTAATATTTATGTTACTAAAATTTATTAATAAGCATTAATTTTCTTCAATTGAATTTATTTAAATTATACTAATACTTCAATTTGATGTATTTTATAAAATCAAATAGCATTAATTATTTTGAATAATTTTTCATCTTCGAGATATTTCTATTTATTTAATAAGTAAAAGTGTATTCATTAAATTTAATAAATATTCAATATGTTTTAAATTGAAAATTAAAAATTATATATTTATTTTTATTATATAAATTATAATTAATTTCCAAAAAATTATTCTTTTCAAAATTTGCCTTAATCTATCTTTAAATCCTTTTTTTATTCAGTCTTTAAAGACTAATTACAATTTATTAATCAATAAAATCATTAAATTTATCATACAAGAGCTATTATTTTTAATTCTTTAAATATTAGATCAAAATTTATTCACCCCAGCTCTTCAATTTATTATCCATAGCCAAATAGTATTTTCTTAATTAAATTATAAATCTCCATAGATTTAATCTTTATGTAAACTTCAAATTTATTTACACTATTGTGACCATAATTAGTGGGTAGTAAATAATTAATTCATATTTTTATGAAAATTAAAGAGAAGCTAAATTATAAATTTTGGAGATGGCTTTACTTTAAGTTTATTTAATTTGATAAATAAAAAAATTTATATAAAAATTCAAAATTTTATTCTCTAAAAAAATATTCCACGGATAAAAATATTTTATATTACAACTCATTTTGTAAGATCTTGCTTATTTGATTAATATATTAATAAATTCCTATTGGATTTTATGTGTCTTCATTCCAAAGATGTTTTCCTGCTGAATAAAAACAAAAACGAGGAGAACTTAAAAATTTAAGTGCTCATGTATACTTTATTTTATTTATATAAAATTAAGTTATTTATTTTTAATATTAATTATTATTAAATGGAGCATCATTAATATATAGAAAAAATAACTGAGGAGAGAAGAATTCGAGATGAATAGTATAATTTTAATTTAGGTTCCTAAGACGCACGTAAAGACTTTTAGAAGAAGAGAAAATCAAATAACAATCCCTTTAGTTATTAGAGTCAATGAAATTATAATAATTAAAAGAACTTTAGGATTCTCGTAGATTGTAATCCAAATTAAATATTTCATTTATTCAATTGAAATCAGATGAGAGAAACTAAAAGGTAAAGGAATAAAATAAAAGAGTCAAATAATTATTAGAGAAATTTAGACAAGAAAAATTATAATAAGAAACATAGGAAAAGTAGTTAGAAGAGCAGAGAGAAGAAGAAGTCAAATAAAAATTACAATAAATAAAGGAAAAGTTTAAGGTATTGACAACTGATGAAATAAAAGAACATTTAAGTTATTATAAGAAATAATAAGAAGAACATTAATAATAATTGGCAAATCTAAGAGTTCAAAAGAAATTATAAGACACTTACTTTTCTCAATAAGTTTAATCTAGATTAAGAAGCAGAACATATCAATCCTAACTTTAAATGATAAAAGAAGAAGAATAAAAAAGAAAAGAAAAAGAAGAGAGGTTGCGAAGACAAATAAAAGAAAGATTTGCTTATGATCATTTTGTAAAAGAACACTTCTTGCCTAAAATATCTCATAGCATTGATTTAGAAAGTCATACTATAATCAATCAAAAATCAAAAAATGAAATTTCACCTATGAAAAGTGATTCTAAAATTTTAGGGAATCTCTACTTAAGATAGATAAGAAAATTACCAAGAAGACCTAGAATTTAATCTCAGATGGTTGTGGATTAATCATCATCTTCAACATTAAGGCGAGACTATCTTTCAGAAATTAGACAACATTCAAAGAGAAAGACACCTTAAGCTCCAATTGATATTAAATTTCAAGCAGATATGTAAAGAAATAATATTAAATAATAAAGGTTGGAAAGAGAGTCTAGACAAGCATATACAAAAAATAAGCTAAAAGGTGATTAACTGCTGATGGAATCAATAAAACAAAAAATGCTATTGTTAGAATTATGAATATTAATGATACTATTTTAAGTTCACTCATTTTAGATTAAAATTGATAATTTTCTTAGTTCCTGCATATATAAATCTGAAGCACCATAATTCTAACTCTTTAATGATTGAACTAAATCTTAAATTTTTTCAACTGGTACAATTTCATTCAGTGTTTTCTTTGGTATCATCAAACTAATAAATTACGACTTGACGTTACCTAGAATTAACAGAATTCAATTCAAGACTTGATTTTTAGAAAGACAATCTTCCAGGAGAATGTTTTGAATATTGTTTGACTCTTAATGGAGATTATTAAGGAGTCACTTATTATGTCCTAGGAGATTTTGGAGATTAATTTGCCTTTACTAAGGGTTTCCATGTAATCATAGCTTTTTCTTTTACCTACTTAATTGTGTTCTTTTAATTTTAAAATCTAGTAAATAACTAATCTTTAACATCTTTTCTCAATAATTGCATCGAACCATATTGCTAATTATTTTAGATAAATGAACTCTATTGCATTAATTAATAAATATAATAACAGATAAATTGTATTATTATTTTTGAGTAGTTTTTACATTGAAAAATAATGATAAAATTTCACACAAACTCTATTGATGAAAATGGATTTTCCTTTTTATTGATTCTCTTTAATTATATTGATAAAGACTATATAGTATATTAACTTTATTAGGACTGATGCACAACCTATTGATAATTAATTAAATCCACCAATTTATTCCATCATAATTTCTTATATATATTAATGTTTTTCTATATTATGCAAAAATGAATATATCTCGTATATTTTATATGTTGAATATATATTTATTCATAGAAAACATACACATAGTTGAAAATGGCAGATTTACCTACTCCTAATGATATAAATTAAGTAGCAAAGACCAATCCCGAAAATCAAACAGCATTTTATTATTAAGCACCTGCTGTACCATAAGCACAGCAAATTAATCCAATTATAGTATTTCCTCCTTAAATGTAATAACAAAATCAAATGTATTATACAAAAAATCAAGTACAACCTATTGTGTACCCATAATTATAACAACCTCAGTTATATCTTTAATAACCTTTATTACCAAATTAATAACAACAATTACCTAAACCCTTAATAACCTAAAAGTAGGATACTTTGAAGCATAAAGAGCTAAGTATTGCTGGTTATATGGAGAGAAGACATTTTAATTTGTCAGTTTTAAAATATTACTTATTCTGTTAAGCTTTAGCTCTAATTTTATGTTTATGCTCTTATAAGAATGACTTTATAAGGCTTTCATATAATTTGAATGGGCATTTTAAATTACCCTTTTACATTTTTGTTATAATAATGAGCTTATCTTTGTTATATTCATATACATCTCACAAAAAGTTAAGAGATAAACAATTAAGAACTATTTTAGTTGTTACTTATACATTGTCTTATGCATTCTTTATTTAAGCTATTTACTCATCTACTTATTATATTTATGATACTTAAAGTAGTTATTATGGAAGTACTCTAAAAAGCTTTGGTGGTAATGAAATTTTAATTATTTTATTTTGTTTCATCAATCTTGAAACTTATTCAATATTTGCATATTGTATGTAGGAAGTTGAAGAATTAAGCATAAAAAGTTAAATTTAATTATTATATTTTTAGATTCATTTTGGTATATAATCTTGCCAAATTTGACTTTTGGAGGCATTCTCTTTTCTCTTTATTACAACTATGAAATATTATGCTTAATTATAGCAACGAGTTGCTGTTTTGGATTTTATCTTCTATTCATACTAAAGAGAATGGTAGACTCTAAGAAAGTAATTTTTAAATAATAGTTTAGTTTAACTTAAGATCAGATGATGGTCCATTCGCAGCTGTTTTGTTTAGCTTCCTGTTATTGGTCCCATTCTTTGATATGAAATGCAAGAATAATGATTAACAAGAATAAATAGCATAGAGGGAAATTTCTGAATAGAAAAATGCAAAATGAGAAAAATTAATATACAATATTCATAATTTATATCAAAAATTAAACATATATTTTTATATCTATTAATACAATTATCTAATGGCTAGGCAACAGAAAAAATAGTGAGGAATATAATGAAATTATGAAATAACAAGNATATAAATTAAGTAGCAAAGACCAATCCCGAAAATCAAACAGCATTTTATTATTAAGCACCTGCTGTACCATAAGCACAGCAAATTAATCCAATTATAGTATTTCCTCCTTAAATGTAATAACAAAATCAAATGTATTATACAAAAAATCAAGTACAACCTATTGTGTACCCATAATTATAACAACCTCAGTTATATCTTTAATAACCTTTATTACCAAATTAATAACAACAATTACCTAAACCCTTAATAACCTAAAAGTAGGATACTTTGAAGCATAAAGAGCTAAGTATTGCTGGTTATATGGAGAGAAGACATTTTAATTTGTCAGTTTTAAAATATTACTTATTCTGTTAAGCTTTAGCTCTAATTTTATGTTTATGCTCTTATAAGAATGACTTTATAAGGCTTTCATATAATTTGAATGGGCATTTTAAATTACCCTTTTACATTTTTGTTATAATAATGAGCTTATCTTTGTTATATTCATATACATCTCACAAAAAGTTAAGAGATAAACAATTAAGAACTATTTTAGTTGTTACTTATACATTGTCTTATGCATTCTTTATTTAAGCTATTTACTCATCTACTTATTATATTTATGATACTTAAAGTAGTTATTATGGAAGTACTCTAAAAAGCTTTGGTGGTAATGAAATTTTAATTATTTTATTTTGTTTCATCAATCTTGAAACTTATTCAATATTTGCATATTGTATGTAGGAAGTTGAAGAATTAAGCATAAAAAGTTAAATTTAATTATTATATTTTTAGATTCATTTTGGTATATAATCTTGCCAAATTTGACTTTTGGAGGCATTCTCTTTTCTCTTTATTACAACTATGAAATATTATGCTTAATTATAGCAACGAGTTGCTGTTTTGGATTTTATCTTCTATTCATACTAAAGAGAATGGTAGACTCTAAGAAAGTAATTTTTAAATAATAGTTTAGTTTAACTTAAGATCAGATGATGGTCCATTCGCAGCTGTTTTGTTTAGCTTCCTGTTATTGGTCCCATTCTTTGATATGAAATGCAAGAATAATGATTAACAAGAATAAATAGCATAGAGGGAAATTTCTGAATAGAAAAATGCAAAATGAGAAAAATTAATATACAATATTCATAATTTATATCAAAAATTAAACATATATTTTTATATCTATTAATACAATTATCTAATGGCTAGGCAACAGAAAAAATAGTGAGGAATATAATGAAATTATGAAATAACAAGAATACATATTAATTAACTCTTCAGCAATAACTTCTTTAATAGTATTATCAAAATTTTAATTTTGATCTAAAAAGACATCATAATCTTGGAATATAAAGAAGGGGAAGTTGCTGGTGAACTTAATCAAAACCTAGCAAAATTTATTCATAGGAGTGAAAACCTCTTTGAAGCTTAATTTTTTTTAAGACTATTTAACATGAAGATTATTAATAGGTATTGTTAATGTAGCTTTGCATTCTGGATTTCTTACTTCTATATATTTTCCTGATTTTTTTCATTTTCACCAATTCAAGAATAAATCGTTTGTGTCAACTTATAATATTATTTCAAAAATTTTTTACTAGATAGTTATATATTCTTGCTCATTAAGGGATTATAATAAGCAGTATAAGGATAGACTACTTTAATTTGGAACTAACTCTTTTCTTTTATTTCATCATAGCTACTAGATTAATTTTTGTTTGTGTAACAATAGAAGAAAAGGAAGAAATCTAGCCTTGCCTTTTTACCTACTATACAAATTATTTTTTTTATGGATTGTTTTTCTATTCTAGTTCATTTGTACATATAAATTTCCATGCCACTACTGTTATGGGTATATTTATAGTGATTTTTGCATAAGTAATAGTATTACTTTTTAAAAGAATAAATAAAATTGGATTTGTAAATTCTTATTTTTATTTTTCGAACAAATATTTTTATTCTACGGCTTCCATTTCGCTTATATTAATGATCAGTCCATTTTATGATAATGAATGATTATTAAATAAATTAATATTGAATAAAAATTATATTATAATAATTATACCAGTAATGATATCATCAATTCTTAGAGATCATTTATAAATTATAATTATCAAATCAATCAACATGAATCAGCAGCTAGAGAGTATACACGTCTCCTTGAATCAAATTCAAATTATTAATTAGAATTTCGAGACAATGAATCAGTATCCTCATTTGCTCTAATTTCTTTCAAGTCTAAATTTCTTGGGAAATTTGATTTTTAGAACTTAAATCTCTTTGGTCTTTTATTTTTATATGAATTACTGAGACTGTCATCAAAATCTCTTGGACTTAAATCCTAAATGATTATTATTAATTAGACATATTACATTAATTGTTTCGAGGCTATTTTCAATTTGAGTTAAATTATATCCTCCTCTTAGTTCTTATAATAGTTTTTCAATACGATGATTTTTACTAATCAACATGTCTAATGAATATTTTTAAATAATCAACCTTTTATTTCATTCTTTTATTCTATACAAATACGATTTTACTTATATAAATTGTAAGTGATGTAAAGAATCTTGCCTTCAATTGTCTCAAATTGATCCATGATTTTAATAATAATAATATTAGTAAGTTTAAAATATAATAATTCAAAGTGATTTTCTATATTAAAGATAATTACCCTTATTAAAAATTATTTATATAAGTTTTTTCGATCAAAACTTCTTAAAAATTTTTGTATTTTTGAAATCGAACTCTTTCTAATAAGAAAATTTCTTGAAGGATAAATTTTTTGCATTTCAATATATATTAAATACTAATTAATTTCTAATTTTTCTCTTTCTATTTTATATTATCTCAATAGCTTTATCTTCATTAATTGAATAATCAACTGAATAAAATCCTTTTAATAAAATTAAATTCAATATATAAGAGAACAAAAATTTATTATAAATTTTCTATATTAATACTAAATTCAATTTTTGTACAGCATTAAAAAATATTTTTGGGATAATTTATTATTATTTATATCTCCTTTGATCTTTCTTTAGATAAAGATAAGTTTTCATTCATTGATTTGAATAGATCGATTTAGAATTAAAAGCTTAAAGCCCTTATGGCATTCTGAATAAATTTCAATCCACACTACACTCAAAAAGCCTTCTTATTGCTAATAGATTATTATTAAAAATTTATGAAATCCACTTTTTCTATTATTAAAGATCCAAATCCAACACCTTGTTAGTTTATTTTGTACTCTTTTATGAATTAATTTTACCATATGCCTCTAGAAAAATTTTATTATCTTAATCTTATACCCAATTCCATTATAGTAAATTTTGATTTCTATAAAGCTTTCATTTTATAATCTTAACGTATTTACTAGATACTAAAGTAATTTGACATAAACTACAATATTAAATCATAAGTTATTAAAATTATTTTATGTCCTTATAGATTACCATTTAGAGTCATTTTCCACAAATTTTTTATGGATGGTAATAAGCATGTTGGGAAAAAATTATCATAAAACTCAAAACTTGTAAAAGTTCTTAAATGATTAGACTATTTTTTAAAATTGAATGAATTTCTCTTCATAATAATTCTTTAATACTAAATAATTATTGGAGATGATATTTATATTTGAAAATAGCTTCCTTTTCAATTTACAGGGTGTATTTATTAATGAAAGCTTAATTTAAAAAAATTTTTATTTTTTGTTACTTATGGACCAGAAGAAGATATAACTAATTAAGTTAAGAAAGTACCAATTGATAAATTACAGGATGAACACAAGAAATTGGGAGCTGGATTTTAAGATCCAAATTCCCAAAATAAATCATAATTTTTGGATTAGTTATGTTAACCATTCGTTTAAAATTTATTGATACCTAAGGATTATTAATCAATCCCTCCAAATTCTAATTTATTGACTGGGATTAGAAAAGATATGATAATTAAATTATGTGATGAAGTTCAACGAATTTTAGATAAAGAACCAATAGTTTTAAAATTAAGAAGACCAATTAAAATATATGGAAATTTAAATGGTTAATTTTTAGATTTAATGAGATTTTTTGATCATTTTAAAGCTCCATATGATAATTTATATAATGGAGATATTGATTCATAAGATTATTTATTTTTAGGTGATTATGTAGATAGAGGAACAAGATCATTAGAAATTGTGCTATTATTATTCACATTAAAATTAAAATATTCTGACTAAATTCATTTACTTAGAGGACATCATGAAGATGCAAAAATTAACAAAATTTATGGTTTTGCAGATGAATGTTTCATAAAATTTGCAGAAGACATTATGGATCCTAATAGCATATATTAAAGAATCAATAGAGTTTTTCAATATTTACCATTAGCAGCAGTAATTGAAGATAAAATTTTATGTGTTCATGGTGGTATTGGATAGACTATGAGAACTGTAGATGAAATTGAACTTATTTAAAGACCATTGGAAATTGTACATGATCCAAAAACTGTATATGAATATATTAAAAATTTAGTATTAATAAAAGATAGCTTTAGAATTATTATGGTCAGATCCATGTTTATCTGAAGATGAATTAGAAAATTAACCAAATCCAGAGAGAGATATATTCTAAAATAGATAAATTATTAGGTTTGGAACTAATAGAGTAAGCAAATTCTTATAAGAAAATAATTTGAACATTATCATACGATCACATGAACCAACATTAGAAGGTTTTGAAAGACAGAATAATAATGTCATTACTGTTTTTTCTTGTCCAGATTATGGTACCAATTCTCAAAACAACAAAGGATGTACCCTATTTTATTAAGACTTAAGCCATGCTCACTATATCTAAAAGAGGTGAGATCATTCCAAAAGTTATTTTACCTGTAAATTCTACTTCAGAATCAAGATGGATAGATCTAGAAGAACCAATTCAAAGGAAAAAGGGATTTGCCAAATATGTAGTTATAGATAATGATGAATAACAATATAGAAAAAGATAGTTCACCCCACTCAGATCTAAAAAATCCTCATCTTAAAAATAATTCACATGAATTAATTATTAGTAATTCAATAAATTTTTGTATATTTTTTCATAATGAAAAATATAAATAATTCATTCTTATCTAATTAAATATATGAACATTCACAAAAATGAATTGTTTCATTTTTTATTTTTATAAAACCTAACCATTTTTGACTTTTAGGATTCAAATATTATTTTAATAAATTCAAAATATTTAATGAATCTGACTTTTAAAGAAATGAGTTCTTTGAATTAATAATTTCTTGATTATCAAAAATAGTATTTATAATTATATTATTAAATAAAATGGAAATACCTTTAGATAGGCAATAAAGTTTATTATGCTAGATAGAGTATTAGAAATAGTTTCCCTTATGTGAAAAGACGGTTTATAGTTTAATAACTATTTTTTATTGCATTTCTGCCGTCTTAATCATACAAAATTAGTAAATATAATAACAAACTCAGTTGTATTGATCCTTAATGCTAAACATCATAAGTTTTTGCTGAAACAATAGTATACTTATTTGTTGGAGCAATCATTTTAAGATTATTAATAATAATCGTTTTGGTTATATCATATATGAGTCAGAGAGCATTAGTAACTACTATAATTCTTGAATAGAAATTGAATGAAGCAGAGTTTTTTATAACGATAGTGTAAATATTAAGTATTTTAATAGATTCATGTTTTTTGCAATCATCTTCTATATAGGAGCTGAAAATTGTCACAAAATGTAGATTGGGTATGCTTTTGTCTTCATCTTAACATACGTGATAGTTAGATTGATGTGCTTACCAAATGGAGTAATCAACTATTTTGATGGTGAATACTTTTGAATTAAGTATATTTGATTCCTGATTTATAGAAAATAAACAATAATTTATTTTATCTTATTAGATTTTATACAATAAAAAATCAAAATTTTTGATATTGATAAGTGCTTAATATTGAGAAGAGCAATTCAGCTATGAGTAATTTGATATTCTATGAAGTCTTATATGTTGTTCAAATTTTTCCCACATTTTTATTATTGAATCTGAAGAGTATAAAATAAATTTATCTCTTTTCTTTAAGAGTGTTAATTCATTAATCTTATTCAAATTTATAGTATTGTTTGTTCCTATCTTTTGTGGGTCAAAATTGTAAATATTGATATCTTTATTAAAATCAATAAATGTTATGTAAGAATTATTTAATTGAATCTTTCTGTAAACTTTGGTAAGGTTGAAATCAATATATCATCAATATTCCAAACAACTAATTAATTTTCTAAGCACAAAGATATTAACTATTTTGTAGTAGTCTTAAAAAGACAAATCTTTTGAAAGTAAACTATATTCTAAATACGACCAGAAAATGTTAATATTTGTTGTATTTTGTATCAAATATCCTTAATTGAGTGTCATTTTAAGAATTAAATAATTATCTACAATTGATAGAATAAAAGTTATTTAAGTTTTAGTAGGCTTTAATTAAAAACTAAATAAGATTTTATGCCTATCTATGTTTCTAGCTGCCATTTATAATTTTAAATTATTTTCTCCTGTTTACACTTGAGACAATTCCTTACTACTAAAAAAAGGAATATTCAATTTAGCCTAAAAAACATAACTTAATTGACTACTGAATCTAATATTTTGCTCTATTATTTTATAATTTAATCATAATTTTGGAGGAGAATTATTCATTTATAAAAAGAATCTTGCTAAAGTTTGTAAATCAGCCAACATTTATTAAACATTTCAATAAGAAAGTTATCTACTTTCATTTGGATGTATTTTAATTTTAATAACAATTATTGGCTTATGTGTACCTAAAGATGCCAACTTGTATTGAAATGTATTTTCATTGGTGATTAATGGCAAGGAAGTAAATAATCTTTATGCCAAATATCGTCCATTTCAATATTAATAATTAAAAATTATATATATTGTTTTATATGTGTTATGTTGATTTTCTCATGGTTAAAATTATTCATATGTTCTACTGCTTCTGGTCTAACCCATAGATGAGGTAGTCGTTGTACCACCAGTCCTTGAAACAACCTTTGATGATGTTACTACAACTTCCTAAAATTGATTTTTTTTAAATATTACCTTCTTTTAGCCTTTCTTCAAAGCTTCTAACTCAGCTTAGCACATAGTCAACTCTTCTTAACATTCATTATAATCATGATTAACTTTTATGAATTTCTACTTCCACACTTCAACTTCAGAAGAAAGATATGTTACTTTTTCTTGAACAACAGTTAATCCTTGAGATTCTAATTCGGCATATCTAAGTTTCCAATCTTCTAAATCTCCATCTTTAACTTTACTTGCATAAACTAATCTTTCAATCTCTGAAGATAACATAGCAACTTTCATCTAAAATTATTAAAATATTTCACCTCTAGATTGCTTATTTTTTAAATTAATTCTTCATTTTCTTTTCTTAGATTTGCATTTTCTTGTTATAATCTTCTAATCTAATCCTCATAATCTCTAATTTGTTACTCAAATTTGAGTCTCAAATTGAAAAACTCTCTTTCTTTAGAGGCAAAGTCTTCAGTTTATGAACTTCTTAATTAAATTTCTCCTCTCATTGATTATAATTGAACAGTCAACTAATCATTTTCTGATCTTAATTATCTTAATTGAGACTCTAAAAACTCTACTTTAGAGTTATCTGTCACAATTTTTTCCTTCTCTACTATTTTTTCTACTACTTAGACTTCTTTTCTTTTTTCTAATTCAGCAATTAAAGATTGTAAATATTCACACTCTAATCTCCAAGGTGCTTCAATCTCTTCCTTAGAAACAACTATAACATTCATGCATAATTATTAGGCAGCCACACAATTTTATTAAACTGAATAATTGCCTTAATATCCAATCTAAGGTATTGCTGCCATATTAGACACATAACTTTAACCGCCTACAAAACCTTAGGTCTATGTTCTCAATATTTATTGAGATTGCATTCTTGGATATTATTAGACACTTCTTTATTCTACTTCTACTGTTCTTGTCTTAAAAAATTTAAAAACTACATTATACCTACACTTTTGGTGTCTCACGGTTAATTATCTATTCTACTTTTTCTTAAGTAGTACTTCTAACATTATCCTTAGTACCAGAAGTGTACTGTCTTGAAGAAGAAGATGTAAAATATTATCTATTTTAGAAATCACTCATGATTGCAAATAAAATTTATTTGTATAAAAATTATGAATATTAAATCATAATTGAATTCATATCCAAATAATTATATCAAATATACATATTTCTATTATTATAACAATCAATTATACTCCACATTTTGAAGATACGGAAACTAATTTATGAAACATATGTTAGTCTTATCTAAGTTTAACAGTTCATTTTATTAGTCATATGTTAAATTAGTTATTTTAGATTTCTGTCTATCTTTTATAATTTAGTTATGCTTAGTTATCATTTTATAAATTAACTATTATTTTTGAAATCATTAAACTTATTTTTGTAGTTTATATAATTCTTAATTGTTTATAAGAACTAGTTTAATTTCATTTCTTTATAACTATTTCTTATTAAACATCTTTATTTAATCATTAAATATTACTGATTTTCAATACCAAATTTTGATTCTTCTTATTCATTTTCCTTCTTAATTTTATTGTTCTTCTTATAATTTAACAAATATTGCAATCAATACTTTCATTAATTTTCTTCTAAATCTACTCAAACTAATATTGTTAATTATCATCTCAATTTCCCTTCAATCATTTTACTTTAGCATAGTATCAATCCAAATAAATTTCTTTATATCTTGTATTTTAGTTAGTCCTCACTTTTGAATTGATTATTGATTATTAATTATTTTATAAATAATTCAATTTTGAAATGGTTCATTTACAAAGAATCTAATTTAAATTCAAATGATTTAAATCATTCTTTCATCAGATGATATTTTAGAAATGAGTATTCAGTACTATCTTATTTTGTATATAACTTTTACAGTGTGAATGTTAGTAAAATATAAAAATTAAATGCATTAGATTTATTCAACTAAGATATTTTTATTATTCTATAATGTAGGTATGCTATTTGATTCTTTATTAAGATTCAACTAAATAGAAATGTAATTCTTCTATATTCTATTCCTTTTAATTTTTAGTATTGAATGTTTCAGTCTTATTTTTTGGAACTGTTACTAAATCAGCAAGAATAGACTATTTTATTTGTTGATTGTTTTCACCCATCTGTTGAAGCAAATCCCCTAAACAATTTATGCGATTCATTCTTTCAATTTTTTCATTGCTATTTGTTTAATGTGTCGTTACTTAGATTATAATAAATTTTAGCTTGATTATTATGCTACACTATTGACTATGTCTTAAGGATGATAATTTTTAACACGAAAGGATGGACTTTTTCTAAATTATGAAGAGACAAAGGATTATTACTAGTTCTAATTTGAGTTTGAATAATTAGTACCTTGATTAGTTGACCAATATAGGGTTGAATCTAAGAATCAAAAGATATCTGATTATACTTCATAAAATTGCATTTTGCCTTGATTTGGAGTTTAATTGCTGCTTTATTAAGTTGAACATCTATAATGAGTTGCTGAATGTAATCTTGTTCCTTGAGAACTCTTGGCTCTATTTTAATCAACTACATTTTATCTGTTGTCATTCTTATTTGTGTATGGAATGTGACGGATAGCACAGACGTTCATTTTAATTTATTTATATATAAGTAGATGAAATTCACTTTTTTAACTTCTTTTCAATATTCTCTAACCATTTTTTGTATTTTTATTGCATTTCTACTTAAAAAAAATGAACTTCTTCTAAATTAGCATCTTTATTATCTTCCAATATTGTTTGATCAATATTATATTTTGGAACAGAAGTTGTTTAACTAGATGAAGAAGGAGTTGCTACTATCTTCTTTATTGGTTATGTATGTCTAATTTACTATTATTCATCATCAGTCCCAAGTTGAAATTAAAGTAATTCCATCGCACTTACTCTCTATTTGAAAGCCTGCCTTAAGATTCATATAACATATTCTTACAGAACTTTAAAAATTTGTTTGTCTTCTTATATCATCTCTTGCTCCTGGAGTTATATGACGATAATTCTTCATTCTAAATGAAGGACTTTTTCGCAACTGTGTTGAATTCATTGATGAATCTGTAGGTTTTGACTATCATCATCAAAAATTATAATACCTTATCCTCAAATACATCTAAATTGCATCTCTCAAAATTAGTTGGTGTATGCTAAATCTAAAGAAAACCTACTTTATAAGAAGGTGTGATTTATGATGAATTGAGATCAGAGTCTAACCTCCTCTTTGGTTATATTTTGGGTCCAACACTCCCATTTCTTAATTGTACACGATTTATCTAACAATATGGGTTCATCTTAGTTAATCCTGTACTCATTTGTATTAATATATATAAATAATTATATAATTATATTGTCAGATAATTCAATTATCTATCTTCCTTAAAGTTATAGTATTGAAAAATGATACAAAAATAATAATGATCATTAAATACTTCAATATAACTATTGGATATCAATTAGATATTGTTCCAAGTTAAAAATTCTACTATCATCTAGATGATATTATAATATTATGAAGATAACTCTCTAAAAAATGTCTAAAACCTTTAAAATCAAATTAAACATTTTAAGATTATGTGATTTATATATTCATTCATGTACTTCCTTACCATACAAAAGACTCAATTTTTTTCAGTTTTCCATTATAATACTTAATAGAAATTTATATAAAAATGTACAATTAAACCAATTTTATGAAATTACTTAAAAATAATGTCAAAAATTGTTCTAACCTTTATAATTATTTGTTTTAAGCTGTCATAACTTAAAAATTTAACCATATACTTTGGTTGATTAAACATAAATATTTTTTATCAAACCATATTTGATATATAAACAGTATAGAAGAAGTTTAAGACTCTATAATTAGATAAAAGATTGAGAAATTTAGTTAAATTATGTAAATAATTTACCTTTCATAATAATTCAAAAAAAATATTATAATTCAATATTTATTTATGATATTCAAAGTCCTTTTAATATGATCAATACCCTAATGTATATCAAATGTTTAAATATGAGAAACAATGAAACTTAAGATTTATAATTTAGTTGAACGTCTCTTTAACATTAAGTAAGAATGTGACGTTTTTTCTATAAATATAAACCACTTTGGAAAAAGAGCTAAAAGTAAGTGATATATGTGAATGTAATAATAATAATTTTTTTAGTGTAGGATGAATTAATTCATTCCAGAATGATGATTGAGAAATTTGAATATTTTAATTTACAACAGTAAGAGAAGCTAAAGAAATAAATTAATTTAATTGCTAAACAACTTTTAGAGATTTGAAAATAATTGAGTAGAATTGAAAGAATTGAAGTTTAGAGATACTTCATACATGATTTTATTTTAAATCTGATAGAAAATAAACAGTCAACTTTGTTCAAAAAATTTAATATTCGATTAGTATATTATAATAAGATTTGTTTTTTTTAATTTGAATGAATCACTTGCTTATAAAGTGCGAAGATCAACAAGCCTTGAATGGTATAAACATACCTAAATAGATTTCTTTATTCCTAGACCATAAGTAATTGTTGACTATATTATAGTCACACAGTGAAATATTTACAAAAAGAAGCCTTGATAATACAAAAATTTTTGAAGGCCTTACACAATTTATAAGTAGCTTAAAGCCAATCCCACAATACTCCTAAATATCCTTTTGTCATTTTTATTTCTTATAATTAATTTGTGGTATATTCTATTCTATCTTTTTAATAGGTTCATTTTGGAAAAACACAATTAGATATAAATAACATGTTTAGATTTAGCTTTTATCCTTAGAGCTAGCTAATTCCATAGTATAATTAAGTAAACTCCTAATTTCCAAAGATAAAACTTCAAATTTATAAGAGAAGAGAAGTAAGATTAATGTAGGATTAGAAGGACACGAAGAATATTCCAAAAAATTATTGTAAAAGCATAATAACTTTTGCATGTAAGAATTAATAAAATTTATGCATTGAAATTTTAAAAGAATAACTGAAAGTTGTAAAATTTATAGATAAGATTTCTCAATATAAAAAAAAGTAACTAAATATTAGGGTTTTCAGTACTTTATTATAAAAATCTGAAGATCCTGAGGAAGAAGAATATAGAAGAGCATTTAGAATAATTAGGTATAATTGTAGAAGTATTAGTAGTCAAATTTTTATAAAGAAATAGGCCATTAATTATATATTTAATTCCAAAATTGTTTAACATAATTGGCACATGAAATACAGATATTAAATATATAAAGGTATCAAGAATCCTCAAAATTTCACTCACGTAAAGAATTTATGAAGTTAACAAAGCAATTAAATTTTATTGTTATTTATATTATCAGATACATAAAATAAAATATATCTGCCAAAAAGGTTTTTTAGTAAACCAAAGCAATTTTTTGGCTATATATCATTAATTAAAAAACATCCGTTACCAGAGAGAGAAAGGTCGAGAAAAATGGAAATGTCAAGATGAAAAAATAAAAAAAGGAAAAAGAATATTAGTAAGAAAGAGATAGTAAGATAATTTAGAAATAAGAGAGAATGAAAGAATTAGAAGAAGAGAAATGAGGAGAATAAATAGATTTGTAAGGGAAATAAATTTGATAGAGTTAATTATATTTAATATCCATTTAAAAGACAATAAATTTTTTAATTTCTAAAAATTTATAAAAAATTTAAGTGGTATTAGTTTTATGTATTCAAATTTGTTAAGTTTAAAGTTTCAGATTATTATGAAATTTAATTTTTATGATATCTGAAATTAAATTTCAAGGTTAAAACATGAGTAATATATAAAAGTAAAATGATTCATTTGAATATTTAATAGTAAATCAATTATTTGAGATACTTTACATAGTTAATATTAAAAATTAGATCTTTTCTCGAAAATCACATTTATTATATTTTAGATTAGAATAAAATAAATTTTTATGTGAACTATCATTGGTTAGTTTCAAAACATAGTAAATTTATAATTATGTAATTAACATTATTATAATTTTAGATATTTAATATAACAAAATTAAAATTATATATAATCATTAATAAAATACAAATCTCCGCTTTATCAATTTTTTAGGATTGCACAGTATCCAATAAATCTTTAGGGTGTTCATAGATCAAGAGTTTTATGAATGTACGACCCTGTAATATTATAGGATTTAACTTAATAATTTTAGTGTGAGATTATTCTCCAGGCTTATTTAATAGGTTTATACATTTATTTTGAAAAAAAATCTTTTAGTGAACCTTATTGTTTTTTATTTTATCATTTCCAGATGAAATATAGAAATGAATTGCATAAATATACATTGAATTTGGGCTCCTTATGTTGGAATTTAAAAAACTCTTTAAAAATATAGTTGATTATTATTTTGTTAGAAAAATGTGAGAATAAAAAATTAAGAGTTTCACTGATCACTTAGTAAATAATATAGGTATCTCTCCTATCATTTCGTTTCCATAATTATTGATAAATTGCAAGAATGCCTGCAAAATGTTTCTAAACTTTATTTTTGATTGAGAAGCTCCTTTTACAAATAAAACACAGAAACCTTGTTTAAACCCTTAATTAACTTATTAATTGGATTGGTACTACTTATGTGGATTTAATTAAGTTAAAAATGAATAAATAAATATAATAAAATAGATATAATAAAAAGAGGAGAAATTTATCAAATTGCATTACATTTGGAAATTAATTATGATTATATTATCTATAATTATTCATTTTGTGATATTTTTTATTCTCAATGTGGTAAGACAAAATATTGAAAATTTTGATAATACTAATCTATAATTATATCATTTATTAAAATAATAGAAGTAGTTAACTAGATATTACATGATCATCAAGATATCTTATTAAGGAATAAATATCTTAATTGTTGTAGAATTTTGAGATGTGGGATTAGGAGAGTAAGAATATGGAAGTTTAATAGAAAAAAATAAAATAGAAATTTCTATTAATTTCTTTAATTAAATTAACAAGAGAAATAAATGAATTTTCAATTCAAATTGAGAAGATATTGATAAAGTAAATTATAAATATATAGCCAATTAAATGAGTGAGAAAACTAGAATCATATTTTAAAAAGAATAGAAAATATATGAATAAATTATTGATGCTTATTGAATATAGAATTTATGGATTAAATAAGCTATCAATAGTTTTTAATATCCATTGTAATGAAATGAACAATATGTTTAAAAAATAAGTAAAATTTAGAAAGAATATTCTTAACTTATATATTTTTAATATATATTAGAAATGATTTAAAAATAAATAAAAAATTATAATATATATAGATTTAGTTAGATATAAACATTACATCTTAAGAACCATTGATATATAATAAAAAAAAATAAAATTTAGAGTTATTTTCTTTTATTCATTTAGTGATATAAGCTTACGTCATTCCTATTTAATATAATTTTAAAAAGATGTGAAAATATACTCTAAATATATTATTAATTAATGGGATTATGTGAAAGTAAGGAGACAGAGCATATGAGTTCACGTAGAATTGATAGTTTCATAAAATCTTCTCGTTCTTATAATAATTTAATAAGTTAAGATACACATTAAGGAAGCAGTCTTCCTTATAAATATGAGACTGTCATAATACAGGAGAATTTGAAAACAATAGCCGAAGAAAGTATAATACAATAAGATCGATAAATTCAATACTAATCTACAGCTCCATCTCCTTAAGCTTCAATAGACATGAAGCAAGTGTCTCAGTAGATTCCATTGATGTTACAAAACCCAGCTGGAACTTGGAGTTTATAGACACATGCAATAAAAAATGGAGGAGGAATGTATGAAGTATCAGTAGGAATGGAATGTATAGGAATGTATGAAGAATGGGAATTTATAATGAATCACGAAGGTCCAATAATCAATTAGGATAGATTTGTGGTAATTCAAAATCCATATAATTATCTAGTTACGTCATTTATTGACTGAAACTTTGTTAGCCGCAGAAGAGACTCTATAAGGAGAGTACAAGGTGGGTTCAATAAGTAATAAGACAATAAAAGATTCAGCTATTTGGTAAATAGAAATAGGAACAGATATTCTATATGAGAATACTTTTGTTAGTAATATATTTATATTATAGTAGAATTACGTCATAGAAATTCAAAGTTGTATTTATCTAGAATAAATGAAAATGGATCAATGGAGAATCATCGTAAAGTAGCACTAACTAATTTTGATCCAATAAATAGTTTTTGGTTAGTCAAATTAAAATGATACTTAAAAAATCACTTAAATTATAACAAAATCTCTTCAACTTAATCAATATATTATTGGATACTAAGAATTGATTTTTTCTGTTCTTCAATTTTAGATTAAAGAATTTAGAGTTGTTTTGCAATTATTTAATTGGCTTCACAAAAATTCAATTCAACAAAGACATTCATTCCTACATCAAGTGTTATTAATTTTGGATTTGATCTATTCATTAGAATTGTGTTTATTACAATTCAACATCTAAAAATGTATTTGCACCTACATTCATTTTAATATTTGATTAGCCTTAATTATTTTTAATGTATTCTGTAACAAGTATATAATCTTCTTATTTATTTTCTAATTATTTCAGTTTCTATAAGGCTTTTTCCATATCAATTCTAAGCTTTTTGCGGAAAGTCTAATATTTGTTGATTTATTCTTCTTCTAATTCCACAAATTCACTCATTTAAATTAAATTAAAATTAAAATAAATTACCTGAAATATTAGATAATGAATAATTATATTTGAAGAGATTTATTGTATAACTTAGTTAAAAATTCATAATACAATTCCACTTTCTTAAAAAGGATTAAAAAATCAAATCTATTTGTTATAGAGTGATATGTTTACAATATTCAATCTAAAAAGGAAATTCCATAATAATTAAGAATATTACTCAAGATTGTCTATGTGCTTATGGAGATAAAGTATTAAATGTTGATAGATATCAAATTAAGCAACTATAGTCTCTAATATAGGGGTTAATAAAATGGTATGGATGATGATTAGAGAAAAATTAAGAAAATACTTTAAAAGGGATACAATTATTATTTACTATAGATTTTTAAAACAAAATTATAATTGATAAATAAAAAGCATAAGAATATTAGAAGATTATAATGTAAAATGAAGAAGAAATTTAGAATAATATGAACTTCTTTGATATCTTATATTAATCAAACCTAGTAGTAAGATTTTACTAAAGCAAAATAAAAATCAGTCTCTTAATTAGGATAACTATCAAAATTATAAGACTAAAATTAGTTAGAAAAATGGAGAATAATAGAATAAATGATATTAATTCACAAGAAACAAAGTAGGATATAATATTCGAAGTCTAATTAGGAGGTTTAACACATTCTAGAGGAGATTTAGCATTCAATAGTTAGAATTGAGTATAAGAATTATTTATCCAACATATAGATTATGTTGAAAATGATGAGATTAAACAAAAATCACTTTAATATTAATTAGCTGATCATAGAAATCTATAACTGTCTTTACTTAATTACTTTATTTAAACCTAGAAATCTAAAGATCTTGGATCTACCATGATAATCATTGATTATGATTTTCAAGAATATAAGACAGAAACATTAATTTATGAGAATTGATAACAATAATCTTCTTAAATTAGATGTTTGGAACAATCTATACATTTTCTTATGATAAGAGAATAATTTCTTAAAACATATTATAAAAATTTATTTTTTAGAATGATTATTTTTTTTAACATTAAAAAAATATTAATGTAACATTCTCATAATAGAATCTCAATTTAGATTTTGTTATTATATTCAATCTTAGTTATATATATATATAATAGAAGAAGATTTTATAATAAATTTGATAGTAAAAGTTATTTAGAAATGAATAATTGTCTTTGTACTTAATGTATCACTTTTTTATATAATTAATTAATTAGTTATTTTAATTGATATCAGAGATCATCATATCTACGAATAACTTCATATCCTTCCATTACAGCATTGATGTATCTTTCATATTTCTTTAACATATCCTCATATAATTTCATGTTTTCTAATCGTTATTCTTTGGATTATAATTTTTATTGTATATAGTTAGTATCATCATCAAGTAAGGCTGTTCTCATTTATAAATCTTGAACTTCTAATATAATATCCATTGACTTTTCCATACAATCACTTAGACGTTTCTTACAATTTCTAATTTCCTCATACTCTTCAAAAGAAATTGGTGGTTTATTTTTGATTGGTTATGTAGGTGAGAGACGATTACAAATTTATAGAACATGACAAAGGAGTACTCCTTCTTCATCACGTTAATTAAAAAGTTGAACTATATGCATACGATAATGTGGAACATCAAGACATGTAGTAGTACTACATACAATGTATGAGACTTTGGGACAATGTTTTGGGAGTGGAGTTTAAAAATTCATTTTTTTCCATTTGAACACTTTTTTTGAATTATCTTTTAGTCTTGGAAATCCTAAATTTCTGAGGGATGCTTTTCTCAAAAAGTAAAGATAACCATCTGTTATAATAAATATATATGAATATACTTTTTGGTTCATAATATATGTCTTCTGGATGTTCATCAAAAATAGGTATAGAATGATCTCTTCCATTCATCAATAAATCTTCATATTCATCACCTAACATAGACATCTTTTATAAAAGGTACCATTCAGCCAACGATAGTGATAAGGTGGTAATGCATATTAGGTACTATCCATAATTAATTAAATGATTAAACACATTATGATTAACTTACTTCATCCATTCTTTACTTCAATTTTATTTCGAACAAAAAATTAATAAATAAATATTAAGAAGTAAATTATATATTTTTAAGATAATTTTTATCCAAATAATATATATTTATCAATGATTCACTTATGTGGTATAGATGCGATAAACATCATCAAATGTATTTACTTCTTCTTATTTCAATTTTCTTTATTCTTCATAGAATTATTTTGCGGCATCGATATCCTTTAATAAATATAGAATTTTACTTTCAAAGCAACTTAATGAGCTACTGTAATTTATTTTAATCTAGCTCCACATAAAATAGAAGCTTATCTTCTACCAGTTAATTAATTAACTTATTTAACCTAATGATAATAAATATTATATACCAAATAATCTTTTTCATATTATATAGTTTTATCAAAGAATTAATTTTCTAATTCAATATGTAATTTGAAATCAATAAATCCTAAATTAGATCTTACTTCATCATTAGCTCCAGTTTCTAAAGATTTTCTAGTATGATTTTCAATTGCATCTAATAATTTTCTAAATCCCTAATATATTTAATAATCATAAATACTTCCCAATTATCTGCAAAATCTTCTTCTTCAGGTGGTACAATAGCTCCAGTTGCATGAGGACCTTTTGGAGGAGGTGATATAACAAAATGAGGTTCCTCATCAACATGATGATCTGGTTATTAATCATCAATAACAATTTAAGGATGATCCTCTTCAGTTTAATCTTCTTCATGTCCATCATCAACATTATCATTATCATCTACATCATCTTAATTTTCATTTGTATCTTAATCATCATTATTATCTCCATCATCATCATTATTATCTCCATCATCATCATTATTACTATCATCATTATTATTATTATCTTCATTATCATGAGTAATTTCCTCTTTCTTTTATGGTAAATCTTTATGTGGTTTAGATCCAGTATTTGTTTTACTTCCACTTGGTTTTGTACTTACTCCACCTCCATTGGTGATTTTAACATTAAGATCTCCAGAATCAGATGTTCCATCATCATTTTAAACAACAACTACAGTACCAATTTAATCATCACATCCTGGAATAAGAACAACTGCATTATTTGCCTTATCATCATCATCATTATCAACTTAGTCTAATTAAGTCAAAGCTTTTGGTCTAATTCTTTGAATAAGTGAAATTTCATCAAATGTGCCTTATTCAATCTCAGGAACAATGAGATCTGATTTATCATCAATTTTTTCCATTAAATTGACTAATTAACCACTACGATAGAGTTTAACAAATTTGCTAACTCTATCATGGAATTATGTCACTTAAGCTAAAGATGATGCTCCACCTTCTAATTATGTTAGTTCTTCTCTTAAAAATTTCACTAATGCTAAAGCATATCTGAAATTTCTTATATCATTCACATAGTTGTTTGTTAATGCACATCTTTATATATTTAGAATACACTTACATGCTTGCTTCCAATACTCCAATCTTCTTTGCATTTGACTTTTATCTTCCACTCATCCAATTAATGAAACTTTCACTAGCCAATATATCATTCTGCTTTTAAGCTATGTCATCTTCTTTGTTTTGACATTCAGCTCTTTAATTTAATACAGATTGATTAAGAGAATCAGCAACACTTTATTTTTCACCAATTCTTCTTTGCCAAGCTAATTCTAATCCTTCTAATTCTAACTCAGCATTGTGTTTCAACTCAGCCAATAATTGTAGGACATTTTCCTCACTTGATGTACCTAGTGCCATAGCTAGCACCAAAGCCAATAACACATACTTCATTTAATTAATTTATACAAAAACGGATTAGAACTTCCTTTACTTTAATAGATTTTTTGCTTAACTCACTACTCTAGATTATTTTAGTAATTAATGAACAACGAAATCAATATAAGATAACTGCTTTACTACAAAAAAATTATTCGTATTAAACTAACTTTATTATACATAGCTCATACACAATCCCAACGTAGTATTACACTTATGTCCCATTAGTTTAGTCAAGGTCGACTCTCTGTCCATTCATAAGAAGATTTAAGATTATCCACTAATGTTACCAATTCCAGTATCCTACCTTAAATCAATCTTCGTTACAGTAGTGTCCATTCTTAAGAGTCAATCAAATCTCATTACAATGCACCTACTCCTTTTACTTAGATATAAGTACCCTCCACTAATCAAATAGTGTTTTATCAATAAAAGCCAAAAAACTATTTCTGAACTCAAGTACCAGACCGAATAAATAAAGCAAGAAATTTCAATTATTATGGAATAACATGAATAGCAAATTTAAGAGCTCCAATCCTAATTAATAGAAGGAATTCAAATTAAGTATAAATAATTAAAGGATGACAATATCAATACAATTATGGAGTCTTATCGTTTGAAGAAGGAAGTTGTGCGCTTAATTAAATCTAAATCATAAATGTTAGAAGAAGTAAATATACTCAAAGAAAGAATTACAGAACTTGAATCAATATTATAATCCTTCAAACTTGATTAAAAATGAATTAATATTTATATGATAAATTTGTAAATAAGTTTTTGGGATGTAAGCAAAACATCTTTAGGACATCTCTCATCTTAATTGGACAAGATGGATCAATTGACATAGTCTTCTAGTTAGCTTATCCATACTTTTGAAACTGCCCAAAAAATTTACTTAAATTCTTGCAAAAAATTAGTCAACATTTCCAAAGACGGCTTGATAGAGTAAAGTCAAGTATACTATAAAATGAAATACCTTAATAGAATTTTATTGACAAAAGAAAACAATACTAATTAGAATTAGATTAAACTGCTATATCTATTAGGAACACATACGATCAAATTGAACAAGATAAATGTTATTTTTCTATCAATTTAGCACATGGATTATTTACAAGGTCCACATTCCCTTATATGCCTAATTATATAAATAAGTTTTGTTAAAAGCCCAAAAACTAATCCAAACGAATATACCAAGAATTATTGAAATATGAATAACCAAAAGAACATGAAATAAATGTTACTAATTAATCAGTCATTATCTCTAATAACATTTATAGTGTTAAATTAGATTATTTAGATGTATTTTATTTTGCAACATTCAATCCAAAATAATAATAAATTATATCAAAACTTTAACCTTAAGTAATTTAATCTTATTGTTAAAAATTTGCTGAATAATTACCAGAATTATAAAAAAAAGAGAGCTTTTTGATTTATTTATGTTATTATTTTAATAACTTTATAAAATTTGCTTAAGCTTAGGTTGCTTTCCATACTTTAAGAACATAAGGAAAAACTGTACCAATATTATAATATTATGATTCATAATCTGATGTATTATTATTTATTAAAGTAGTTCGAAAACTAATTATAATCATTTATTACTTACAAAAATGTCAAAAAATGTGCTTTTAGTGAAATCATTATTAAGAGTAATGAAAATTATTATATATAATTATCTGGATAAACAGATTCATTAGAAAATGTTGAAATTTATTGGAATATTAATGATAATTTAGAATAAAAATTAGCTAACTATAATTTATTAGATACATAAAAATAGAATCTTGGTAAAATATTGAAATTAAAAAACAGAGCATACCCTACATATTTTAAATTAAATACTTAAATAGATCAATATCATAATGAAGATCCATCAATAGATGAGATTTTTAAAATAACAAAATGTTAAAATTATTTCAAAATGTTTCCATTTATAATTGCTTAAGATTCTTCTTTATCATAAATAGATATTTGGTATGAAATTGAATCATAATTGATAAAATTACCTATTACTTATGAAGATGAATTAATATTAGAAAAGATGTTTCAATATAATGAAGAACCATGGGAATATTTAAGATGGATAATTGTTAGAACTAGTGCACTTAAAATAAAAAAATCAATTGCTTAAATCAAATTAGAAAATAAAGCAATTAAATTAATATAAAATTTTAAAAAGGATGATAAAAAATATATTTCTATTTTAAATTAAGATGGATTTAAATGTTAAGATGAATTAATCCCACTTTAAAATTTGCTTCCATCTTTTAATTAGATTGACTTTATTTAAATTAAATAGATTATTGAAGATAAATTAATTGATGCTAAATTCTCTTAAATTTAAGAAAAGTAAAATAACCAATTGTGAGTATATATATATATAAATACATATGCATAAATATAAAATTATTTTATTAAAATATCTATTAATTATATTAATAAATCTGAACATTATTATTATTTATTATAAATATTAAAATATTCCAGATTTATTATTTTTAATTAATGATTATTTTTAAATTAAAATTTTTCTTACATAATTTCAGGTTATATTAAAATTAGATCTTTATGATTCTATTTTTATGTTTATTTGACATATATTATATCCATATGATATATATTTTTTATTTTAAGATTAGTATTGTTAATTATATATTAATTTTATATTTATCAACAACATGTTTTATCCTTCTTTTATGGTTCTGATTTTAAAGTTGAAGGTGTATTTGTTATTTATTTTGGATTCTGAAAGAATGGTCCTAATTTAATTCCATAAACCTTTTATCAAATTTTATTCTTACTTCCTATGTATAATCAATTGTCTTATTATCAATTTTTACTAATATTCTTTAAGCTATCTCTTCAAATACTTTATCAACATTCTATCCAGTTTTAGCAGATGTCTCAAAATAATTCATTTTATTAGATTGAGCATATTCAAGGGCTTCTTTTACAGAAACTTGACGTCTATATAGAACATTATATTATATACTCTGATTCTAAATCTAATTTATTCCCAACTAAACTAATCTCTACAAATTCATGTGTACAATCTAATATTTCATTATGCCATTTCATAACATTATAAAAGGTGTCTTTCTTTGTTAAATCAAACACTAAGACTACTCCAATAGATCTAATTTACTTCATTCATACCCTTTATAATAAGATCTTGTGATTGATCTAAAGCTCTCTTATCCAGCCTTTAAATCATATAAACAAAAATACAGTGTCCCAAATTTATATCTTAATTGTCCTGTCATTCATCTTTAATAATTAACTTCCAAACTCTACACCTATTGTAGTTTCATGGTCTTCATTAAATCTTTTCTCTGTATAATTCAACAATATGCATGACTTTCCAACACTAGTATCACCTACAATAATATATTTGAATAGAAAATGGTATTGATCCATCAAATGAATTAATATTAATTAAATAATAATTCGATATACATATATATGATATGTTCAATAATAATTATATTAATTATTTTTAAGTAGAAATACAAAGTATTATAATTTTCTATTAATTTAGAAATAGAAAAACTAAATGGAAGGCTTTAAATTTTAAAGTTATTTAACATACACTTATAAAAATTCTCAAGACTAAATGAAAGATATACTATAAAAGGATGGATATCTGGATTATAAAATTATTCCAGAATTTAATTTAATCAGATACAAGATTAATAATGAAAGAGTAATTAGATTAGATAATTTGCTTTTTCTATTTGTAATTATATTAAAGTATTATAAAGAAAACTTATTATTTGAAAATCACAATAGCATAGTTGATCTAATTATGTTTATAAATTGTAAAAAAATATTAGAATTTGTAATAAAATTCTATAAAACATAATTATTTAGAATTAAATAGGATCTTATTAAAATTGGATGAAAAATGCCAAAGCATGTCAATATTGCCATAATTATTATATTATACTATACATTTTACAGGTTATGATTGTCCATTCTATGAAAAATAGGATTATTAATATAATTAAATAGTTGATGAAGATGCCATTAAATCTATAATATTATAAATTTTAAACTGTACATACTAGAATGAAATTGAAGAAGAGAAAATGTTAGATAATATTAAAAAATTAAAGAATTAAATAAAAATTTCTTTAGATTCATTCATTTAATCAGTTTAAACCATTTTTATTGAATACTCTAATAGAGATAATGAATATTAGATTCTACAGAAAATAGATACATAATTTAATGATAAAAATTATAAAAGAAATAGTCGTAAAACCAATGTCTAAAAAAATTTAAGCAATTTATAGAATATGTATTATAATAATGATAAAAATTGGTTTTTGTATGAATAATATTTGTATTAAACCATACCATTAATTACGCATGAATTTAGAAAAGCATATATTTATTAAGAATAAAAATTACAAAAAGATATTAAAATATTTGATTTTAGGTAACTATTAGATGAATATGATGAAAAATTAATACTAGACCTAATTAATTAAAATATTGCTCATATTAGTGAATCATGTAAGTTTGAATGGGATATTAATATTATTTATAATGATATAAAATTGATATTATCTGAAGAGCTTTAAAAACTTTAATATTTCAAAAATGATATTAATTTCTTCAAAAAGGAAAAAAACTTTATAGACCAATTAAATTAGTTTAAGTAGAGTATATAAAAGAAAGTAACCTATGAAGCATTTGAAACGTGTTTATATTTGAAGTATTTTTAGTTGATTGAAGAGCTTATTTGAATGATATAAAATAATTTTTATATAAAATTGATTAAAATTAATTCAATCTTTAAATAATTTTAAGTATTTAATATTGAATTTTGATATTATTTGATTTATGTTAATATTTATGATAAAAATATCTTAAATTCAAAATTTTAACTTTTTCAAGGATATTTTATTGGTAATTAAGCTTTTGTATTATAAAATTTAAGAATAAAGAATAATTATTTTAATTGATATAATTTTACTATCCTATTTACTATATTGAATCAATTCCATATTAAAATTAAAAAATGAAATATAATAATAAATAATATGATATTTTGGTAATAATTTTAATGTCTTCATAATCCTAATTATGAACGTAACCATCCAAAATTGTGTTCAATTAGTTAGATTATTGTATTAACAACTTCAATTTCATTTGAGATGTGTTATGATTGATGTTTAGTTTATTAAAATATGTTTTTGCACTCTTGCTTGATATCATTAACTTATTCTTGTTTTAACTAATATAAATTGATGAGTACATTAATTCTATGATTGATTTCATTATATTCCAATTCTAATTATTTAACAAGATGTTCTGTTTCATCTATGTTCTCTTTTATTTCATTCAAAAAGTTTATGACATTATCTAATTATGATTAATATAATGAAATTAAATTTGTTGTTTATTGTTCTTTTTCATCAAAATACTTGTCTTCTAATGACATCATATCTGTAGTGAAATCAATCAAATCATTTAACAATGGTTTTAAACTTTATTAATCAATTTTAAGAGATAATGGATTTCTAAACTTAAGAATATGATAAATATTACTTTTGATTCACATAATCATATCTCCTTTCTTATAATTATAATGTTAATTTATGATATTATTCTTTTTGTTAATTTTCTCTATTTTAACAAATCTCTATATTCTTTAGTAATAGTTCCTTCTCTTTATTTTTGGTTATCATCATATGTTAATACTATTCAATGTGAGGCTTATGCGCATATATTTCTTCCCTAACATCATACTATTGATTATTTTCAAATCTACTTTATTCTCTTTTAGTTTTGCAATTAATTCCTCATACGATTCAACATTTTACATGCACTCATCTAATTTCTATTTTTAGAGTTTATTCATATTGCTTCTTTATTTTACTAATTTCTCTGAGTATTTATATCAATTATTATTACCATTAATTCCATTCAATAATTACAATAAATCTCCAGTTGGTTCATCTGCTTAAATATGTAGTTAAACTGTTTCTAATAATGTTGATCCTAATTCTGTTTCTCGCAACTATTCCAATTGCCCATATATAACTGATACAAGTATCAAAATTATCATCAATCGAAAAACGATATTAAAAATAATCTAATTTATATATAACTTTATAACATAATCATCAACTACTTATCATTATTTATTTTATAACTTATATATGTAATGTTAAATATTAATATAATCAAAATACTAATTTTATTCTCATTTATCCTAATTATAATTTATGCACATGTTCAAATCAATACAAATAGTTCAAATTTAATATATAAAGTATAATAATATCATAATCAATTCCATTTTCAATATTCTATTAAATAGAATGCATTAAGACACTATCATATACTTAGTATTATTGAAATTTGATTACTATATTAAATATAATTAATATTATTAATATTACAGAATAAAATGACATAAATATTAATATACAATATAAAAATTTTCAATAATTCTATATATTAAGATTTCTATGATTGTATTCAATGTAGTAATATTATTATTATATTCTTATAATATGGACACTAAAATTTTAATTAAAGAAATTTGAATTTAGAGATGTCTCAATAAATTTTATGAATTTTACTAATTACAATTCCTCGATTAGAGTTTGGTATTCAGTTTAGAAATCATTGATACTTACATCAAAATATTATATATATTCAAGAATTTATTGTATTTTAAATAATAAAGAAAATGATCATTAATATTTTATAAGAATGATTTTGATCAAAATTATTGAATAATTCTCTCTATTTCTCAATCATTAAGTTGACATAATTATAATTATTTAGTAATTATTCAAATAATACTTATTTTCTTATAACCTTTGATTATCCTTAAAAATCATCAATTCAACTAAATTAACTAAAAATTTATAATTTAAGATTAGTGAAGAATAGAAGTTACTTTGACATTCAAGTTTTTAAATAAACTTGATAACATAGACATTTTTTTTAATATGTTTTACAATATGAATTAAACACTGATTCAATTTTAAAAAATATATTTTGAGGTTCTAGCTTGAAATTATTTAACATCTTTTTCTGATTAACAAGAATCATTATTAATTTTTATTGTCTTGTTATTTTTTAGATGCTTTTATAATTTTTGAATACAAAATTTTGAAGGAATTTCTTTATCAAAAACATTGCTGCTTGATAATATTGCTATATTAGGGTGATGTTGAAGAATTTATTATTAAATATAGATTACATAAAATATATATATTTAGTAATAAATACATTTATAAGACCAAGTTAATGTTTTGATTTTTAAATAATTGTTTTTTTACTCAAAAATAAATATAATAAAATTATTGATAATTATATTATTGTTGTGTTAGTTTTTACGTTTCAATTAAATTTATTTAAAACTGTATATAATGTTAAATATATTAAGAAAGAACTCAAACATATTTCATACAGTTCCCTATAATAGAGGTGAAAGTTAAAAACAAATTTTAAATCTACTATTTAGCTTCAGGAAACAGAACACTATTTTCAATAAGAGCAGTCATTCTTTATTCCTCAGGCCAGATTTTAATTATTTTTCTTCCCATCACTCTTTTTTCTTTGTCTTTAATAGCAAGTTCCTCTTCAATTTCTTTGGGTACTATTGAAGCCTCCGAATCTTTCAAGCTCTTATAGTACCGATTTTTGAGCATGTTCATAGTTTTCCCTGGAAAGTATTTAGTAATTTTTTAAAATTTAGGACCTAATTTCTTCACCAATAGTAAAAGGATTCTATCCTCTTCTGGTGAAAAAATTGAGTTAGAGGTTTTAACTTTAGAATCTAAATAGCTTCTTTGCTTTTCTTTTATGTATTTATATAAAGCGCTGCTTCTATCCTTATCACCATAAAGAATTGGCTTTCTTCTTTATCTAGATTTCTTAGGCTTAAATCTAGGTAAGCTTGGAATAGTTTCTGAACTTTAAGCAAGTTAGTTGTTTAATTATAGGGACTCTGTTTAGATTTAGCAATCATCGATGATAGAAGAATCATCTTGATGTTGTTAAAAGCAAATCATTTAATTTAATTATTAAAACAAAGAGGAAATATCTTAATTTATATAGTACTAATTAATACTTCTTGTTTTAAATATTGTGAAACAGTTAAATTTAACTATTTCTATTCATCAGGTTTGAAGTCTCTTTTAAGGAATTCCAATTTTATATTAAAAATTATTAAAGCCATACATATAATATATTTTTAATAGTGGGAAGATTTTTTTTCTAAAAAACAACTTTCTAATGCTCTCGTCTTGGTTCTATTAAATAAACAAAATGATCTTTGATTATAGAGTTTAGTGTTTAAATCTCATCAAAATTAAACTATTATTTGATGATTTTGAATCATAGTAATAAATCAATTTATATAAAATTTATAAAGAATTTGTTAAGAAACATTGATTAGAGTGATAAAAGCATTCAAAATCATGAAAGAATTATTAAATTATTTTGTAATAATAAAAATCAGTTTATCGTATGAAAATACTGAAACATAAGAAAAACTGATAAAAAAAATAAAATGGTGACTTTTATTATCTGAAAATATTGAGAATATTTAAATGGAAGATAATAATTTAAGAATTATCTGATAAGAATTAAATATTATTATTGATTAGAATATTATAAAAACACTTTCTTAAATTTATATCTGTATATTAATATTTTTAAATAAAAAGTAGCGTTTAATTTATATTTTTATAATTAATATATAAAGTTATTTAATGATCATTAAATTAATTTATTATCATTATTATAATTGAAAAATCACTCTGAACAAGCGAGTTCTTAATTAGACTTAGTTTTATTTCAATGATTATTTTATATTTATGATAATTATTCAATATATTAATATATAAATATTATTGAATAAAGATTTTATTATTAATTTAATTCTTAAATTACGATTAGACCATTTTTATGCTGAATGTCATTTAATAATTATGAAGATCTTTAATAGAGTTTATACATATAAATTTGAATTTATTTTTATACTGTTAATAATGTTATAAAAATTATTTCATTTTCATTATTTGCAAATGCTAATTAACTGTTAGAATGAAGATAAAAATGTATGCAATATTTCTTTGGCTTCAGGAAAGAGAGGGCTACCTTCAATTACAGAGCTCATTTATTTATGTTAAGGCCAAAAGTTTAATAATTTTCTTCCAATAATTCTTGATTCATTTTTGTTTTAAAGTAACTCTTCTTCTATTTCTTTTGGTATTTCTTAAGATTCAATATGACGAAGTGCCTTATAATATCTGTTTTTAATCATGTTGATTGTTTTTCCTGAAAAGTACCTTGTAATTTTATTGAATTTAGGCCCCAACTTCTTTACAAGTAAGATTAAAATTCTGTCTTCTTCTGCAGAAAATTATGAAATTTAAGCCCTTGGTCTATAATTGAGAAATGCTTTTCGCTTTTCCTTTAAGTATTTGTATATTGCACTGCTTCTATCTTTTTATCCGTATTCAATCGTCTTTTTTCTTTACCTAAATTGCTTTGATTTAAAGATCCCTACATTTTCAAAAGAGATTTCTTGAAGATTGTACTCCATGAAGTAAGGGTTTTCCTTTTGGTTTAAAGGTAAACTTTGACTAGACAACTGGAAACCTTCAGAAATCATTTTTAAAATTTTATTAATCCAATTCAGGAAGATCCCAATTATAAAGAGAATAACAATTAGATACAAAAGTTTGAATTTGTATTTTTAAATGTGTGAATTTCAATTTTGTGATTAAACTTTATGTTGAATGAAGAAAATTAGTTTTAGACAACATTTTATACATTATAATTAAGATTTGAAGGAATGAAAGTAAAATTAAAATGACACAATAAACTGCCTTTTATATTTCATTATAAAATTACAATTTTTATAATATATAATTTATCATAAAAATGTTAAAAATATTATAAAGATGAAAGTTATTATTGTTAAGAATATAATATTCAACTAAATCTACTTAAATTGATTCATTATATTATAATATATTTTTTAAATTGGTATAATTTCAAAGTTATTAAATTTGTGAATTAATTTTCTCTGCTCTGTCTCTATAATTTTCTAATTGCTTTTTCTCTGTATGAAATTATTGTTTTAAATCACCCAAAACCTAATTTTTTTATTTTATATTACAAGTTAATAAATATCCTCTATGTCTTTTTAATGAGCAGACAGAATTTCTTTAATGAATTTTTCTACATCCTTGTCAGTAATCTAATTCTCTGGGCTTGTCAATTGCTAATTCATTCGCTTAGCCCTTTCATATAATTATTATTCTGTTGACATAATTAATTAATATAAATTTTACACTATTTTATAGTTTAAGTAGATTTCTCAAAAATTCCATTTTGAATATAAACAATCTAAAAATCATATAATAAAATGTATGTTAATGAAATTGGATAAGTATCTAATATTAATTAAATATTGGAGTGAATACTTAGTAGAAAATATAAATTCAAAGAGGTAAAAAATTTTGTATTTATTAATCTGAAGAGATATTTAATTTTGGTTACTTTATTCTTATTCTTTTAAAATAATACTTATGAATGATAACCATAACGATTTTTAATTAAATTATCATTACATATCTAACAGTATAAGAATTTTTCAATTATTCAATTTTTGATTACAATTGATAAATGATATTGTTTTTAATCAACTAAAAAATTTAGTATATAGGATAAATAAATATTAGGTAAAAATGAGTAAAGGATTTTTACTTAATAAAAAATTTACATAGAATTTAAAGGAAATGAATTATGATAATTAGTTTTATTTTCAAATTTATTAGTTAATCACATGATAATCATTAGTTTTTAAATAATTTATAGAGCTTTATTTTATATATTATTATTTTATAATTAATGGACTAAGGAGGAGCTAATACTTTTGTAGTTGAACCAAAAGACGAGGAAAAGTAATAATATAATGTTTTTCTTTTAGATTTTATCCTTCTAAGATTAGAAAAGTTATTTAAGAAATTATGGATGACAAATTAAAAAACGAAACTTATGATGCTAATAATACACCTATTCTTGCAGAGGAACTTGTTAAGAAAATTAGAAATAAAATTAGAGATTGTATAGAAATTGAATATAAATATAGCCATAAAAATGCCTAGATTCAAAATTGCAGTATAAGTAGTTATAGGTGAAGTTAAGGGATAAGGGTGTAAAGTCACATCAAAGAATCTTTGGGATCCTACTTGGGATAATTATGCATCTTATGCCTTTTAGAATGTATTTTGAATTAATTAATAAGGAATCTATTTATGGAGTGGCAATTGTTTTTGGTGTTTATTATGAATGAGATTTTGAATATTGAAAATTAATTATTATTTAATTTGAACTTTAAAAATATATAAATCCAAAGCTCTTCTATTTATAATTATTACAGTAACATTGTAAAGGAATTATATACATTTATAATAAGAATAATATTTCAAAGACATGAGTGATATAAATAGAATAATGTTGGATATACTCTCGAGATGCCATCTTCGTATAGTGGTTAGTACTTAGCGTTGTGGCCGCTAAAGCCCAGGTTCAATTCCTGGAGGTGGCACTTTTTTTTTATTTAAGTTTAATATTTGTATTTATAAATAATTACCTTATTATAATTATAAATATGAAAATAATTAATTTTTGAGCAAATCAGATTTCAATTATGATTATATCACTTATCTTATTGATATCAATCAAATAAATAATTAATATCGTGAGAGACTTGAAAATTTATGGTTGGTTTATTATTAGTTTTTCTGTTCATTTGGAATCAATAAAGAATGTAAAAATTTATTAAAGGTTATTAAATGACTATGTTTAATAAGGATCATTGAATCTTTATAAATATTTCATTAATAAATATATAAATTTAAAAATGCCAAGAAGAAGTGGATCAGCCTCAAGATCAACAGCAAGTCCATCAAGAAGCACAGCTACAGCTGCCAGACCAGCTCCTCAAGCTTAAGCTCCACCATAAGCACCAGCTAGATCAGGAGGTATGTTTTCTGGCCTTGGATCAACTTTGATGTAAGGAATGGCCTTTGGTGCAGGATCTGAAGTAGCTCATCAAGCTATTAGATCAGTTATGGGAGGATCAGGTATGATTTCTTTGTAATTTAAAAATAGGTCATTCTCAACCTGTTGAATAACAAGCTTAATAATAAGCTCCATAATAGCAATAATAAACTTGTCAAAGTGAAAGCCAAATGTTTTCTAATGTAAATATATATATATATTATTTAGTGTTTGTAAACAAATTAAGACATTACAAGATGTTAACCATATATGGATATTTTCAAGGAATGCTAAAAGAAATACAATTTATGATGATTAATTATTGCATTAAATAAATAGAAAACAAGATAATATATATCCTTATTTTTTAATATTCTAATTGAATAGTACATTTAGTTTGATGAAACCTTTTTCTATAATAAAATATTAGTAATTTAATATTAAATTTCTAGAACAAATAAATTAGTCTTTGTTATTGATTAATATATATGAAATCTTTAAATTTTATGTTTATTTGAAATGAAAAATATTGAAATATGATTTTGAAATACAGATACATATTATATTTCAATATAATAAAAATAATATAAGACACAATAGAAAAGTATTGTTAATTGTATAACTGCATCTTCCATCTTCTCCTCCTCCATTAGCACAAACACGATCATATATATCACCATAATCAGGACATCTATTTTACCAAATAACACATAAGAAACTACAAATTTCATAATCTGTATTTCCATCATCTGTATTACAATATTTAAATTATTCAGCACAAAAAACGAATCTTGCAATTCCTAAACAATCAGAGTTAGGTATTCCAGTTGCTTTATAATCTTCATAGAGTTTTTTATAATTGGCTTTGGCCTAATTGATTCAATTTTAAATCTTTACTTTTTAATCATATTCTGAAGCATGATAATATTATTCACAAGTAATTGGATAATGTTATAAGTTGGCACAATAATGTTCAGATAAATATACATATTAATTTTCTTATTCAATTGTTTCAAATAAAGCTACACGAGATCCACCTTCAACACAATAATTTTTATTGTCAATATCTGAAATTGTTAAATTAACCTTAAAAGATGTGTCTTTAGCAACTGCATCACAATAATCAACAATCTATTATTCAGCATTATTTGTTTCTTATGCTGAAACCACTATGACAAATTACAATATACTTAAAATTAATAAATACATTAATTAATAATTTATAGATTTTTTTAAATATCATTTCTGACTTTTTTAAAACAAATCCAAATATATATTATAAGCTAATTTAATTTATCGCATCTTCTTCATCATCAATATATTAAGTTAACTAATAATGTAGTTTAATTAATTGAATATCTTCCGTTTAAATACTTATGTATAATTTGATTCGATATTTTCATTAATAAATTTTTCAAAATCTTTCTTATGGGGGCTTGTTCAGCAAAATAATCAGATAAAGAATTACAAAAGGCTTTATATCTCCAAAGGTTAAAAGAATTCAAAGCTAAATTTAAATAAAGCACTGCTGAGATTATACCCTTTAGTTTAGCTTTAGAAGATTAATAAGATGATGATCAAATTAAAGTTAAGTATATTATATCAGAAAATCCAATTATTAAAAGAAGAAGTAAACAACTTAATGAAAATGGTATTCTTTCACTTAAGACTAAGGATAATTAAAATTGATTTATCATTATTTAAATCAAATCTTTTTTAGCTATTCAATAACAATAAAAAATTCTTCACTATGATTTTGTCCCAAATTTGTTTTTTTATTTAACAAAAAGTATCAAAGATTACAAGTCTTAATTAAGATTATTGTAGTTCTTTATTCTTTTGAATAAAAATGTCTTTTTTCATTGAAGCCAAAGTTTGAGTGAATATTATATGATATTTCAATTAAATTATATTAATTATAAGAAATGATAAATCAAATATATTATTAATTAAATGAGATTGAAAAAAATGTAACATAGAATAATATTTCATTTTGCAGTTATATTTGCAATAATGAGATCAAATTCCATTCCTTCGTATACAGTATCACCTTTTATATCCATTAATGCTATTTTGACATGTAATTTACAAGGAGTCAATGGAGCCTTTATCATTAATTTAATATAGTCTTTTTCTAGAAAATATAATCGAACTTACAGTCTTTTTAAAGATTTATTGTTTCAGTTTTAACTTCAATGATATTTGGCATACTGGAACATACTTTATAATTGATTGGTTCTTCTTTTGCATTCAAATATAGTATTTTTTTGTTTACAACTGAACCTTTATTAATAGTTAATTCATAGTTTCTATTTTCAAATAAAATATTTAGATATTAATACTTAACATTTATGTAAGCCCATGATTTTAATATAACATCCCATTCTGGATTTTGTAAATCTAAAACTGTAGGAATATTTAAGGTAGCTTTTCTATGTTATTATCTCATTTAAAGGAATGAATTTAATTTATTAAATTATTTTGATAATGAATCATTCTATAGACTATTATAATAAGTAGTAATAGAAGTTATATGAATACATGGTTAATTTAACATAAAATGTGACAGGAGTTGAAAAAATTGTAAATCTAATTAATAATAAAAGTTTACAGATTTAGTAAGATGTTTGCATGCTTTTAGTTAAGAAATAAAGATTGTAGGAGAGAAACTTCATACTTAAATAAGTAGTGGAGATGAGCCTGATATTTTAGTTTATTTATATTAATAAGTGAGCAATTACTTATTAAGATTGTCATAAAATTGGGAATATACATCTTAAAAGATAAAAAGTGAAATAACAGAGCCATATACATAATTTGTGTTAAATTTTAGATAAACAAATAGAAATTTGAATGCTGAATCAAAAAAGTAGGTGAATGAAATTTTGGAAACCAGAAAAGAGATGTGTAAAACTTAAGATGAATATTGGAAAATAATGAAATAATTTGAATAAAAAAATTAATAAACATAAGAGATGGTAGATTTAATAGAAAAAGGGAGTGCTACAAGAGAAGATTTTCAGAAATAATTTACAAATTCTTTGAAATTATAAGAATTAGCTAATGAATCAGAAAAAGATTATAAAAATTTGTTAACAATAACAAATGAAAAATGGAAATAATTTCATGAAGAATGGGATAATATCTTTGCAAATATTGGATTGAATGAATAGAGTAGGTATTTTAAAATAAATTTATATAATATAGAATAATATTTACAAAATAAACTGTTAGTTCATTATTAAAATTATTATAATTTGATTAAGATACAAATTAATTAGAAGAAAAAATTACAGATTTAGAAGTTAAATTGAAAGAAGATCCAAAAATACCTATTCGTAAATTAATAGAAAAAAAAATGGAAATTAAAGATAGTAAACATTAAATAATATTAATAGCATTTAATTTCTAATTTGAAGAATTCATAAGTTATGAGTAATGGAAAAAGATTAATATAAATTAAGAAAATAGTAATCCAATCTAATAAATCCATCATTAATGGCAAATAGTAGGAGACAGAATCTTAGAGGATGAAAAAAAGATAGTTGATAAATATCTAACAACATTGTTTATATTTGATACATCTGATAAAAGTGAATAACTTATTAAAATTAAATAAATACTTTAAAAATAAGCAGGCAGAAATTATTTTATTAATTAATTAAATTAATTTCTTTAAAAATCAATTGAAGAAAAATAAACTTGTATATATAATAATATATATCTTAGCATTTTATTTGACATTGTCTAATGAGCAATTTAATGAGTTAGTTTAATTAATAAGATTTTGGTTAAATTATATTGAATTAAATGAACTCTATGAATCTGAAGATATCTATGATTTATTGCTTAAATCTATAAGGATAGTACGTATAGATGGAAAGGATCGAATTAATCTTGCATCACAATTATCAGATATAACACTATGGAGGAAGATAGAAAAATGGATTGAATTATTTTAGTATATAAATGCAAGGAAAGTTGATGAAAAACGAAAATAATTTGAATTGTTAAACTAATAAAATTAAAATAATATAGTATAGAAAGGATTCAAAATTATAGGGTCTATTTTTAAGAATTTATAGACTAATTAACAATCTCAACTTGAACTTAATGAGAGTGAAATATCTTATATGATAATGGAAGAAATCAATCTATTTTTGACATCATTAAAATTATAATCAGATTTATCAACTGAAATTATAATATAAATAGCATTTTAATAACCAAATTTTGATAAAGAACATGTAAAGAAATTATTGGAAAAACAAGAAGATTTACATAATAGTTAATGGAAAAAAATGTTTAGATTAGGAAAAAATGTATTGATTTATAAATCTGAAAAGTATGATCGTAAGAAAATGGATGAATATGAAAATAAAGTTATTCAAATTTTTGGTGCAAGTATGAAGTAATTTATTTAAATATGTTATTAGATTTTTAACACTTGAAGATAAACCTTGGTAACTTCTATTGATAAATAGTCAATTTAGTTTACATTTAAGACATAAGATAAAAAAGTTTTATTTGGCTAATGGATAGATATTTTCTAGTGAAGCAACTCATTAATTAAGATTAAAATTAATTAGTTAAGTTTTAAAATTAAGATCAATGAAAATTGATTATGTAGAAATGAAAACTAAAGTTGGATTAGAAATGGATATTAATTAAATACACGAAGAAACTATAAAATTAGATGTTTAAAGAAGTTTACATCTTCATAAAGAAAAAATCAATTCTTCTGTACTATAAAGTTTATTAAGAATATATGCATTCTATAATTAAGATGTTGGATATTGTTAAGGCATGAATTATATAGCAGGATATCTATATTTAAATTTTTAAGATTAAGTAATTGCATATAAAGCTTTTGATAGGATGATGAATCTATATTTTAAAGATCTATATATAAATGATTTTTCAAAACTTGTATTATTTTTATATTTAATATTTAGAAAATTGGATTTTATTAATTTGATAGATTACTTTAAATCTTTTTACCTGAATTATCATAACATTTAAAAGATTAAAAAATAGATCCATCATATTATGTTGCTTCTTGGTTCATAACATTATATTCTAATGTTTTTTAGTATAGTCAAAGATCAGCACTTTTAAATATTATATGGGATATCTTTTTAGCAGAAGAATGGAAAGGTATTTATTTTTTAATATTGAATCAAGGGTTTTTTAAGGTTACCTTCTATCTTCTTTGGTTATTATAGTAATAAATATTAGATTTAGAATTTGATGACATTCTTCATTATCTTGGACAACTTATAAGAAGTGAATTTTTCACAATTGATAATGAAAAAGAATTAATAAAGTTCATTTAACATTATGACAAAACTGTTAAAGAGAATGAATCAATAAAAACAAATATTTTATAGAAATTCAGAATTACTAATAGGATGTTAAGAAGCTTAGATTTGGAATATCATAATTTTTAAACAAAATTGAATAAAAAGTTGAGTTTATGTTTGAAAAAATGAATGAATGTACATGAGAATATGTTAATTATATTTAATAAGAGAACTAAATATAACAGCTCTATCATTAAATTCAGTAATTGCTGAATATCTAATATTATTCATCATTTTAAATGTTAAGTTCTTTTCTAGGATCAAAATTAGGATCTTTAGCCTTTTATCTAAATAATTAAATATCAATATAACCTTTAAAGAAATTAAAGTTCAGTTTAATCATCTCTATTAATTGGATTCTTTGGTAATTCTATATAATCAGATAAATCTAATTGTTTCTTTTAACCCCAATTGATATAATGAATTGTACAGAGAGTTCTGGAACCCCAAGGTCCTTTTGTAAAATTAGATGCAAATCTTGCACCACAATATCTGCACCAATCCTATAAATTAAATATAAAAAATTACATTAGTATATTTTGAATAATCAAAATATTTAACTGGTATAATACCTAATTCTTCATAAGAATATGGATGAATATCTTTATTACGTTTTTCTCTTTAAACTTTCTTTGATATTTTTTCTTAACTCATACTTCTACTAGAATCAATTCTTCTTTTGTCTGAATCTTAATTTTCATATTTTTTTTCTTATATTTTTCGTGTTCTGGCTGTAGTTCCAATTGTATTAAATTCTGTTTTTGAATTTTTTAATTTCTTTTAATATCCTAATATAGGTATTTTAACAATCATGCTTGGTTCATTCTTTTCTTCTTTAGGTTTAACACATAGATCACAAATCATAACTTTTTTACCAATTTTTTAAGTTTTGATTTTGATATCAGGAGGAGCACATTTACTATGAAATGATCTACAACATCTAACACAATGAATTAATGCAGTAGTCATATTAGAAGAATTGATTTTACAAAATACACAAATATGAGATGGACATCTAAATAAATCAGCATTAGTATCAAGTGATTTTGATAAAGGATTTGCTTATATACAAGATAAATGAAAATATCGATTACAATTAGCAGTTGAACATTTAGATATTAGTGATTTATTTTTATTTTTCTTTATATTATCATCAGAGGGATCAAATTCATCCATTTATACAATAATATCTTCTTTTGATTTCTTTTCTGGAGGATAAGTACCTTTCTATTTACAAAGTAAACAAACAACTAAATTATTTCTACAATCTGGACAAGAATATCTAATATTAATCTTTTCCTTTAATTATTCATCACTCCAATTAAATTCAGGGAATGCATTATTATTAAGAAAATCTTAATCAGGTCCTTCAATATTAATATAATCTGTTGTCTCTAATAATTATTTACATGCTTCATGAAATGCTCTTCTACAATGACCCATACAAAAAACAGAACAATTAGATCTTTCACAAACATAACATAACTTTTTAATTAATTCTTCTTTACTCTTTGATGCTAATCTTCTAGCATCTTCTCCTTATATTTCAACATTTCTTTATTATTTTCTACCTAAATCTAAATCAGTTATTTTTTTAATTCTTCTTGATGGTTTACTTAATTCATATATCCAATTCATAGCTAATTCTCTATAATTTTTAGCATAATTAGATGAATTTATTTTATTTAACAAATCAGTTAATATTTATTCATCATCAGTACTATAATTAGATTAACTTAATTTTGATTCTATTAATTAATTAACACAATCACCAACTTCTTCTAAATATTTCTTTTATTCTTATAAAGACATATGTAAATCAAACATTTTACTTAATTTTTAACATCTACTTTCTGAACTTTTTAAAATTATTTTCCAAAAATTAGGATCTTAAATATTTATAGATTTATCTGTCTTCTCTGAAACAAATGATTATTTAGATACTGTATAAGTACTATTAATAAGTGAATATTTTGCTGTTCTAGAATTCTTTTCTAATATTTCATCTATATTTTTTTCTTAAAATGTATCACCATTTTAATTATTACTTATTAATCCTATTATTCCATTTTTCAATAAAACTTCCATATCTTATTTACTCATCTTTTTTTCATTCTTATTACTTTTATATGAATTTTCACATGATTTAAATTATCCATTCATAAATATTGCTTAATCTAATCCTAATTTCTTTATTGCTCTTTCAAACATTTCTGATTCATATGTATCTTTTGTAATCAATCTATATACTGTAACTTCTTTTGATTAACCAATCCTATGAGCTCTTGCAGTTGCTTGAACATCATTTTATGGATTCCAATCAGAATCATAAATAACTACTATTTCTGCAGCAGTTAAATTTATACCTTATCCTCCTGCCTTTGTGGATAATAAAAATACTTCTCTTTTCTTAGATGGATCATTAAATCTGTCTATTGCATTTGATCTTTCTCTAGCTTTTATTTATCCATCTATTTTTTCATATTTAACTTATTTAAATTTTAAATATTCTTCTAATAATTATAACATCATTGTAAATTATGAGAAAATAAGCATCTTCTTACCTTCACCTCTAAATTTATTAAGTAATTTATCTAATAGAATCATTTTACCAGAACTTTCAACTAATTTATTAATATAATCAATTTAAGTTTAACATCCTTTTGATAACTCATTTTACATCTCTTAAATTAAAAATGGATGATTGCAACACTTTCTTAATTGTATTTCAAGATTATTTAGAGATGCAGCATTTGCAGCCCATTAAGAGAATCCCTATTCTAACATTGATTTATTTCTATCATATAAAGCTTTATAAATATGTTTCTATATTGTTGTCATCTCAATATCTATTATAGTCTCTTAAAGTGGAGGTATCATTTATTCTACATCTTCTTTTTATCTTCTTAAAATATAAGGTTTCAATAAAACATTTAATCTATCAACTTAATCTGATGTTTCTAATTATCCATAATCTCGTTTGAAATTTGTAAGATTACAAAATTGATTAGGCTCTATGAAATTAAGTAAACTAAATAATTCTTCAGTATTATTTTAGATAGGAGTTCCAGTCAAAAGTAATGTACGTTAACAAGAGAGTCTTTTAAGTGATTATAATATTCTTGCATTAGAATTCTTGAGTTTATGAGCTTCATCTACTACAATATATTAAAATGGAACATTGATAAATATATTCTGAAAATCTTACATAAATACTTCATAACTAGTTATAAGTATTTAAAATTTAAATATTTCTGAAGCTGTTAAGAGAATACCTTTCATACTAATATCTGTGTAAAAAAATTCATATTATCTACATAGTGATCTACCAGCATTACTTTCTTAATCATAATACAATACAGCATTTAGATTAGTCCATTCTTCAACAGTTCGTTTCCAATGTTATAAAGTAGACAAAGGTGCAATAATTAAAAATGGACCTCTATAATTTTCAAAATTATATAAATGATTTAAAAATGCAATTGTTTGTATTGTTTTACCAAGTCCCATTTCATCAGCCAATATTACATTCCTATCTTCATACCATGCTCTTATTAACCAATTTAAACTATCAAGTTGATAATCCCTTAACAATCTTTTATCTTTATAAATTGTTTATGTAAGTTAAGTATATTCATGTGGAGGTTTTTGTTAATTAAGGAAATACAATTATGATTTGATATCTTAAATTTACATATTGGACAATTTCTTTTTTCTAATACCTTGTTCATATTCTACTAAAATTTTATGATTTTAATTTTATTGCATCATTAAATTTCTTGTTTCTTTATCTAGACTTCTATTAAATTATTTAAATTCTTAAATCTTTTGTCTACAATCTATAAGAGATTCAGGTTCCCATGTTGCTTCTAAATATGATAAATGTTTCCATTTGACAAAATAAAGTTTATCAGGTTCCTGTGATAGATTTTCGATCTCTTATTTTGTTAGTATTTTTATTTCTTATGGTGAATCATTAAGCCAATCAAAGGATTTTTCACCTGGGTTCCATGATTCTATATCAGGATCAACAGTATCCATTTATGATTGAAAATCTTGCATTTCTAATTGCATCTCTTTAGCAACATCAATATCTTAATCTTAAAGAGATTATTTTAAATAATCTTCAAGATCAAATTCCTAATCATTTGAAATTTACAATTTAATATTGAGTTCTTAATCTAATATAATTTCAATCTCTTTAAAATGTTCTTATAGATTATACTATTTATCATCTATGATATTTAAGACTTTGGAAACTAATTCATTAATTTTTTCTTTTTTCAATTCAGGCATAATATCTTTTCTATGATCATCATTGATTTTTTCTTTGAATGCTTTTTCATTAATATATCTTTATTATTGTAATTTGGATTAATAATTTTATTTGGCTTCATTATACCAATAATTATATAATACAATAGCACATTCTATAAGAGTATTAGTGATTCTATTCATTTCTGTACCATCTTGCCATTCTTCTGCTGCTGTATTATAGACAGAGCCTAATTCATACCAAAAATCATTATAATTTTTATAATAACCTAAATAAAGTCGATTATTAATGGTTCCAAAATCAAGGATTGTTTTTGATTCCAAGAAGTAAATACCATAATGAATTTAATCTCTGGTGAAATTTAATAAGTGAGACATTACTTTAGTAAGTGATTCTGCCCACTTTCCTTTCATTTCTGAACCTTTTTTAGGATGAACAATAGGAAAGATTTCTGTACACGATAATACTCGATCTACCTCTTAAAAGGCTGGATCAAAATATTAATCATCTATAAAATCATCTATTTCTTCTTGGATACGTTTCTAAAAGACTTTGTTAAATCTATTTATTTTCTGCTTGCCATTTTTTTCATCAAGGATCTGATGTTATAGAATAAATTGAATATACTCTATCTTCATTAAGCCATTCTGTATGTAAATAACTTCTATTCTTGTATTTAACTAGGAATTAGATTTAGGCTGTGTTTTGGTCTATCTTTCTCCATAAAATTTGATCAATCTCTGGAACGAAGATGCGCTTCACTTCTGTTTCTTCTACTGGTTAATTTATGGGCTCTTCCTCATCGCTCATAGTGGCTGCATAATTCTTTTTGATTGCTCTGGCTGATCTCCTTTCATTTGTAATTACATTTTGCTCTTAGACATAGTTTTCTTCTTCCATTTAGTTGTATCTACTAATGCATCTAACATCATGTACTTTCTCTTTTGTTTATCTCTTAGTCTACCCAATTATCTATTACTTTAATCATCATCACTTTCTTAATCACTCATTTATAAAATAATAAGGGACAAAAAGGAAAAATAAAAAATGTGATAAAATATACATCTCTCTATTTGAATTTCAGATAATTGTACTCAAATAGGCGCGCATTTAATTATTTAATATAATAACCATATTTTATGGTAATATATTTACATAATAATCATCTTCCATCTTTTATATACTCTTTCTTATTTATTTAATTATTTTATATGGATCCAAGTGCACATTGGAAAGAACTTAATAAAAAGTATTACAAATTTCATCAATTCAATCCTATCACAGGTGAGTAGAAGAGTCTTGACTTTTTCTATTAACGTATAGCTGTATCCAAATGGGGTGGTCCTTTGGCTGCTACTAAAAATTATAATCAGGTTATCCTCATGCGTACCGATGATCTACTAAAAGACTCTATTGTGTTCTTCTCCAATAATGGCAAGATCATATCTAAAGCTTAATATAAAGAAATTGACAGAGTATTACAATATTTAATTTATGTAGATTGCATTATTCGATTTTCTTGAAGACGAACAACTATTGTTACTAAAAGCAAATGGTTCATATTATATAGTAGATCCTTTCAAAGGTACTAAAAAGAGTTATGATTTGATGGATCAATTTAAACAATAATAAATCCATAAAGGTTTAATTGTTAATAATGGCTTTGTATTAATGACAACTAATTATGAATTTTTCTATATACCTAATGCTTATGAACCTTAAGTTCATAAAATGAAACCATCTAATCTTACTTAAGAACCTGAACATTGGTAAGTTATTCCACCTCAAAAAACTTAAAGTGGAAAAGTGGAACTATTGATAACTAATCCAGATGGTGGAATTATTCATATAATTGAAGATGAAAAATGGAAGATATATTATAATAAAGATAAAATAGTTAATGAGATTGATAAGAAATTACCTGATCTTAGAAACATAAAAATGATCAGTTTATCATCTAATTATAAAAACTTAGCATTACTTTAATACAATAATTCAAGATGGGTTGTAACATTTATATCTGATTTTTTTGATTCAACAGATTGTAAATAAATACCAATCGATCTTAAAGAAGAAGATATTAAAAAAGAAGAGAGTGCAGAAAAAGATATAAGTAAAATTGAAAGACCTAGAAGAATGTTATGGTGTGGTGATGATTGTGTTGTTTTACAATTATAATAATACATAGTCTTAGTTTCTTAAGACTCTTATATTAAAGTAAAAATGAGTAATTCACATTTTGCACTTAAATAGGAAATTGATGGTGTTAGAATATTAACATAAAAGAAAAATGAGATTTTACGTAAATTACCTGAAGCTTATGTAAATGTATTCTTACCACTCTCTGTTAAACCAGGTGCTTAATTGCATTCTGCATATGAGTCATTCGAATAAAAAAATCCTATTGAAGATGATGAATTAAGATCTAAAAAAGCTGAACTTGGAGAAGCAGTTAATGATTGCATTAAAAGTGGATAATTTGAAATTAATCCTGAATATTAAATGAAATTATTAAAAGCAGCTAGTTATGGTAAAACATTTTTAGGAAATTAATTGATTGATCCAAATCTATTAAATGAAACTTGTAAATATCTCAGAGTATCAAATGCTTTACGTAGAAATGGTGGTATAGGTAGTAGAGTAGTTACATATGAATAAGTCTTATAATTAATAAAGAATCCAGATTTATTTATTACTCTTTTGCTTAGATACAATTTACATTATTTAGCTATTGAAATTTCACGTTTTCTTAAATTTTAAATTAAATAAAAATCTACAATTTATACTCATTGGGCATGTTGTAAAGTAGAAAGTTAAATGGATGATGATTAATTATGTTAGATTATAAAAGAAAAGATTAAAGAAGAGAAAGGAGTATCATTTACATAGATAGCATAAAAATCAATAGAAATAGGCAAATCTTAATTAGCATTAAAACTTTTAGATAATGAATAAAGTTTATCTAAACGTATTCCAGTACTTATTTGGATGGCTAATTATTAATAAGGCAATAATAACTCATATTATGAAAAAGCTTTAATTGATGCAATTGCCTCAAAAGATTCAAACTTAATTTATCTTGTTATAATGAAATTTTTAAAAACAGATATGGATGAAACTTATAAATTTGGTATTCTATCATAAAATCCAGTTGCTTAAGCCCATTTAATATATTATCTTAGAAATTTTGATGATAAATACTTATAGAAATATTTACAATATTTAAAAAAATATGATGAATGTGGTTTATTAGCTATCAATTAAGCATATTAATAAAATAATTTAACAGAAAAAATCAGGTTTTTGGAATTTGCATAGAAATTCTTTGAAGAAGAAAGCAAAGATTCTTTCTATAGTAAAATATTATAAGAATAAATAAAAACATTAAATGATTTAAAATAGGAAGTTGAAAGAGAGAAAAAAGAAAAGAGTAAAGTAATAATGGATGAAAGACCATTAAATTCAATAATGGAGGCATTTCTATCTAAAGATAATATTCAATTAGCTTAAGAATTTGCAAAAACATACAAAATTCCAGAAAGAAGGTAATTATTATCATTAATAATTAGATTTAATATAACAAGAGTTAAGGCATTAATAAATAACAAAAATTGGGAAGAGTTGGAAAGATTTATAAATGAAAAAAACAAAAAAAATGTATCCATACCCTATGAATTAGTTGCGGATATGTTAATCAAAGCAGATTAAGAAGAAAGAGGTTTATAAATGATAATGAAAATGCCAGATCCGGAAGTAATAATAGAATTAAATATATTATAGGAATCTTGTTATATGTTATTAAAAATTGGATAACAACGTCATGCTGTTTAAGTAGCTATTAACAATAAAAAGTCACAATTAATCTAAGATATTAGAGGATCTATTAATGATAATTAAGCTAGAGCATAACTTGAAATGTACTTAAGTTAAAATCAAAAATGAAATTAAATGTTATGTTTAAACATAGAATATATAAATGTTAAATTTCTGATAAATTTAAGAATTTCATATAATTTTTCTATTTTCTAAATCAATTCATCTTAATTATAATAAGCTTAATAACAATATTAATTATTTCTGGGAACAAATTTAATGGCATAATTCAAATAGATCTCCCTTTTAAGATCAGCAAGTATTATTTCCTAGAATGATGAGCCTTATAAATCTCCATAGTTATAAAAATTTACGTAAAGATTATTATCATAATAAGATCTTAAATGGAAGACATAGCAAATGAATTTGAATACAGGCCTTTAACTATTAGTAGACAAGCATCAAATTTTATATTGTATGATCCAATCAATAGTTTGGGGTCAAGAAGATCAATAACTTATTAGACTTATCTTCCTCCACTTTAGAAATAATAATCACAGGTTTCTTAGATGAATGATACTAAAATAAAAGAAGAATTATTTAAAGAAGTTGAATAGTTATAATAATAAGAAAAATTAGATTTGAAAGAAGATAGAGATAACAATATAATAAAAAAGTCAGAAAAAGAAATCAAAACTAATTAAATACAAAAAAAAATAAAGAAAAAATATAATGAATTAGAATAATAACCTTGTTTTTGTAGAAATAGTGGTTGTTTAAAAAGATATTGTAGATGTTTTCATAGTGGAAGAATGTGTTTAAAGGAGTGTTAATGTGTTGAAGGATGTTTGAATAATCATGATCATCAAGAAGAACGAAATATTGCAATAAAACATGTTAATGAAAAATGTCATAGAAATAAGAATGTACCTAAAGAAGCTCTATTTAAACTTAAAGATTCTTTTGGTTGCAATTGTAAAAAGACTAGATGTCAAACAGGTTATTGTGAATGTTTTCTAAGAAAATCAAAATGTACTATGGATTGCTAATGTGAAAATTGTGAAAATGGTTTAGATGAAGCATTCTTGGAAAGTTAAAGAATTAAAAAGAATTATAGAGTTAAAAGAAAGTGATTATAATTTATATAATTGTGATAATATAAATGATATTTTATATATTAAAATAATAATTGAATTAATGAAACATAATTTATAAGCAAAGTAATAATTAGAGATTAATTATCAAGGAAAAATAAAAGAAATATAACTGGTGGAGAAATTCATTTGAATTAAATTGATGAGGCTGATAAAATAAATGAAGATGCTTCATAAGATTATGAGAGCAATTTATTAAAGGTATTAGATTTGTAACCTGAAATCACTAAAATATTTATTGAAAGTATTTCATATATTAATTTAATAGATTTAACAAATGGTAGTTTCATTGAATTAAATGAACAAGCATTAAGAAGGAAAATTCAAATGATGGAAGAAAGCAGAAAATAATAAATTCAAACTGAAAATGTGTTATTAGTTTTGAACAAATTAATTCATGAGGCTGTCAAATTAATAGATAGATTTATATTCTTTTTTTAAGGATTATTGGCAGGTAAATTTAAAATTAACAAGGGAATGACATTAATGCATGTTTTCATTATTTTTCTAGGATAAAGTACAGATTAAGAAGGTTTAACAACATTCTTTAAATTATATGCTAAATATTGCTTAAGAGTAGATTAAGTTTTTCATATTATAATTTTAATCAGTGCTTTTGGTAGTTTATTTGTATGCATTCAATTAAAAGATTAGTAAGACAAAACAAAAAACAATTAAGATAAAAAGTTTTATATCTAATCAATTATTAGTGCTTTATGTATGAATTACATTTTAATTTAGTTTATAATATTGCTTATTTATTATGGGTGATAGGCCATAAAAATATAGTTGAATTATCAAGTGGAATCACTTAAGATGATACAAATGATTAAGTTTAAGCTGTGATTGATGGTTCTACATTATACAATTTTTGGACTTATACATAGATAGCAATTACTGTTCTTACAGTTTTAGGATGGTTTATTTCTGTTAATACCACTGAAAGTAATCTTAACTTTTTAGCTTCAGTAGAGGCAGAGTAAGAAATAATCAATTATTTAATAGTTAAATATTTACTGATGAAAATAAGAAGGAAAAATGATCAAATTATTTATTAAGATTTTGAATTTATATTAATTTGTTTAATCATATCATTCTTATTATATTCTTATTAATTGTTTTAACTTGCTCTTTATTATTATTATATTCTAGATACACAATAATTTTATCAAGTAATTTAATTATTTAATTACTTTATTCAGCAATTGAAATTTATTGATTTAAAGTAATCCAAATAATTATATTTAAATACTATTCATATATCTGAAAATAAAGTTAAATTCATTATATAATAACTGAAGAATAAAACAAACGTATTTTTAATTATAATAATATATATATATATATATAGAATTTATATTAATCAGTATTAAATGAAACTAAAAATAACAAAAAAAAACTTACTTTTCTTTACATGAGTCAGCACTCTTCAGTTCTCTGTCTTCCTCTATTTGAATAAGAAAATAAATACTTTATAACTATTCTAATTAATTCACTGCCTTGGACATTTCTTTTTTAAGATCTTAAACAATATTTGATATATTATTCTATTTGTCATTAACTTTTCTTATGATTGAATCTATTATTGCTAAAATTATGAATTACCAAACTATTTTCCAGTATTAAATTAAGCTAAATCGTTAGTTTAATATTCAGATTATCCAAAATAGCTTTTAAATTTTTCTTCAAAATTCTATTATTATGTAGATAATAATTACAATAATTTTTTTTTTGTCTTTATTTTCTAATTACTTCAGTTCTTGAAAAATAGCTAGATTTTCAAAAACTTAACTATCTTCTCTGTCCATATTGTTAATATGAGCAGTTAAGAAATCATCAGCAAATCTGACTTTTTTGTCGTTAGAATTAATAGTAAGTGATTTTTTATTATCTGAAAACAAGGGAGAATATTATTATTATTATTATTGTTATTATTATTATTAATAATTGATGTTTATAGATTATTATTATTATTATGATTACACTTAATAAAGTTGTTCTTAGAGTTCTTGATTTTATTATTTTAGTTTTTAAATCTGTTATAATAATTCTCCTTAATTTCTCTTTTGAACAATAACTTCAAGTTCTTCTCTCATTTATTTCTCCTTTTGATATTATTTTAATAATTCTTAATACTCTTCCAAAGATACTCCTTTAGGTTTATTTGTTTTAGGCTATTAAATATTTCTACCATCCAACACAGCCCTCTTCGCTCGATTAGCAAATTATAGAGTAGAAAAGGTCTCAGCACTAGAAGATATAGAGGGTGAAACACAAACAATGAATAAGATTTTACCACTGCCACTTAAAGAATCACTAAGAACTCTTGTCAATTTAGAATTTCTAAATGGAATATGTGTTCTATTTCTATCTATTAAAGCAGATATGCAATGTCCTAAACAAGATAAACTACCATTGATTGATGTCAATTCTTAAATATGAAGTTCTTTTTCTTCAGGGGTCAATTCAGTTGGTATTTTAAACTTCTCTGATCCAGCTAAATCAACAATTTTAAGTGAAGACTCTTGTAATACAGGTTCTCCATTAATAACTGTAACTTATTGAAGGGTCATCTAAAAACAACAATGTGATCTTGAACTCTTTGAATTCGCATGACTACATCCTACAACTCTATTTCTTAATCCTAAAATTAAATATTCATAGGCAGTATCAATATCCATAATCCGTATTTATGATAGATCTGGAATATTCACATCACCATTTTTATTTTCTCGAATATCCAATCCTTGAGATTTTAGATTAAAAAGATCAAAAATCTATTAAATTATTTGATCTATATACTTTTTCATTGTAAATTTCATAGAATGATAAATAAAGTCGACATTAATCATCTTCTATTTAAGTTTATAATTGAGATATGATTTATTGAACTGCTCTAGGTAGAATTCCTCTCTCATTACACCTAATAACTTAATGAAATTTTTCAGTAGAAACATTGGCTACATTTTCAGGTAATCCACCCATAATTGTATAAGTTTTACCAGCTCCAGTTTATCCATAAGCAAAAATAGTGTTATTAATTCCTTATATAAATGACTTGATAGATTCAGAAACCAATCTTTGAACATCATTTTGATTTGCTGTTTTTGGAAGAATGTCGCTAAATTTCATACGAAGACTATTTCCAATTCTAGTGACTTTTATTGTATTATCATCTATCAACTAAACAAAGTCTTCTTCGCTTTCACTATTTAAAGTTGGTCTGACACGAACTGCTATTCTAACTTTGCTATTATCGTTTGGGATGTCTCTCTAATTAGGGCTTTTTGATTTATTCATTCGTTAATTAATAATATAATGAATCAAACTAAAAGTAGATTATTTTAATATACATTATCATTACAATATATAGTAAAATTATTTCATTTCTTAATTTGACATACCTTATAGATTCTAATCTAAACAATACCCTTTAAAATCATATTATTTTCAGAAATAGATTATTTAAATAAATATATGAATTTTCTTTTTGAGTGTTGATTATTTAATAGATGAAATATATTTAAATAGTTAGAAATGGTTATAATTTGTTAATATTTATTCTATATATTACTTTATTCTTATTAATAAATCAATATTTAGATTATATAGTTTATAATAAATAATCTATTGTTTTTGAACTCTTATTAATTTGTATTGATTTTAAAGGTATTTAATAGTTTAATATAGATATGTCAAATTTTGAAGTGATTCTGTATAATTGATGTGTTAGTTCTAATACTAATCATTAAATAAATTAACTGTTAGAAAAATAAATGGAATTGAAACAACTAAATAAGTTTACTTAAGAATATAATTTAAAAAAGACTGATAAACTTATTAAATATCTGATTATCTTGGGTATAGGAGTAGTTAAACAATAACTAAATGATATAAATGAAGATGGAATCAAAGAATTATCAAGTATTTTTTAATCGTTAAATTAGATGCTTATAAAGAAAAGTCTATTCAATAAGAAATAAAAAGTTTACGCAAGAAAGTACTATCATTAGAAAAGCATTTTTAACCTGAACAATAAATTAAATATCATAGTCAACCTAAACTATTACCTTCTAAAATAACTCCTAAAATTACAGAATAAATACCAATTTAATAAAATGTTAAAAAAGCCATACCATTCAAACATCATTTAGATGATTCAGAAATGTAAAATTTAATATTTATAGTAATAGCAAATCAATTTTATGGAATTAATACTAGAATAACGATTCATAACATTAACCAAAAAGAAAACAAACATTAGATTAATAACCAATTATACCTCAATATTTACCTAGAAATGATTCATAGAATGAAATTCAACCATTATCATAAAGAGAAAATAGTGCTAGATAATAAACATAAAGATCTTCATATCATTCTAGTCAATTAGATAGTTTACATAGTCTACATAGTCGTAACTCACCTTAATTTAAAGATGAGAATAAAAAAATACCTAAAGAGAATAAAACTCCTTAAGGTAGTGGTGTACCAAAACATCTTAGATAAGTGCAATCAAAAATTAAACAATAAATACTATAAGATAAAGAACAATATAAATCAAATCATGTTCAAAAAGTAGATGACTAAAGTATTAACATAGTAAATAATTCTTTGAATCCATTTAATAATACTCCTTAAAATAAGTTGTTTTAGCCTTGTTAATCCACTCATTTTGGTAGTGGATAAGTATGTAGTGCATAACAACAATAAAGTTAACCTTAAGATTCAAATACTATTACAGAAAGAAAATTATTTAATATTGATGAAATTGCTTCATCATTTTTAAATTCCCCATTTCTTAAAAGTCAGATAAAACAAAAATTGTTTAATAAATAAGAATCAGCTTCTAAATCATCAGCATCCAGCACTTTCTCATTGTTCAATCCAAACAATGAACTTAAAAGTAATTTTATATTGCTAATATAGATTTCTTTTAATAGTTAGATAAGTAAGTGGGTAACTCGTTATCTTTTTAATTTTGAAAAGTAATAATATGTTCAACTTATTATATAACTAATGCATAATCTCATAAACCAGATTGGGTCTTGTAGTGTAGCGGTTATCACAAAGGATTCTGACTCCTTTAACCCAGGTTCGAGTCCTGGTAAGACCTTAATTTTTTTTAAATATTGTTAATTTTAAATTTAAAACATTTCATCACTCTTAAATTACTTAAATCCATCCAGATCTTCCTTAAGTATTTGGATCTGCAAATAATTCCATCATTTTTAAACTCTCTCCTGCCTTGTATTATGCTTTTGGCAATAATGTCTCAATCATCTTGTAAATATATTCCATTCCTATAGCAGAAAGATTTTAACTGTCCTTCTCAATGACATCAAAAAATATATCTCCAGTTCTTTAATGTCTTAATTCTAATTGTTGTTTGGATTGTTTTCTAAACATCAACAATGTTCTTTTGGTTTTTCTAAAATATGTATAATCTTCATTCCAAAAAACTTATGTAGGATCTAAATCTGGTAATTAATCTTAATTTTTTAACCCATCTATTTTTTTTATTTCCTTTTACTCTTTTATATTCTTCTTGCTGAAGAATTCTGTAATTTTTCTTACTTAAGGTTCAGATGGCATGATTGTTAATATCTTTTCTAATGATAATAGAACTGTTGTGAAATTTTCAACATAATTGAATCCAAGCTTTTCTAATTGATCGATAATTTCCATAATATTATCCTTTTCACACCATATAAATAACATACCATTATGCATTTATGAATCATTCAAGTTGAATTATTTCTATATTTAAATATATAATATTACAAATTCCTCAATCTTTAGATGTTATCCCCATTTAAGATTTATAAATACTGCCTATAAATCATTGCCTTATTTTGTTTCAATTGGATTGGATTCCCGCACAATTTTAAATGATTCAGGAATGGCGGGTTTTCCTTGTGGTTGATATTTAGGATCCCAACGATAATCTAATACCATTCTTAATCTATTTAGATCTTCCTTACTTTTGTTTGCAGGTTTTTTGATATTCATATTTAATTAATGAATTTTTTTTAAAGTTCCTAAAAAGATAATAAAGTATATCAAAATATGAATAATATCTTTATATGATGAAAAATATTAAGGAAAAATATTTAACAAAAAGCAATGTGCTTAAGCCAATTATAATTTTTCTCTGGTAATCCTAATAAAGGAAAGTAGAAAATAATCAGATTTATGATAAAAAGTGTTAATTAATGGAATTACATATAGATGACAGATTATAATCAAAGAATATGGTGATGAAATGCATTTCTATATTAATAATGATTGATATATAGGAGAATTGAGAATTTGAGGATAATCAAGGTGATGGAATTGATTTTATCTATAAATCAGTCAAAATATTATTGTTAGTTTAACAAGTAGATTCTATTAGATAATAATAAAGATCAATCATCTAAGGTTTTAATATTAAACTATATGATATATATTGATTTTTAATTAATTCTACTTTTAATGCTAAAAATAAATTTATTTTAAAATGTTAAAGTTTTAAAAAATATAAAACATTTCAAATAGTAGAATAGACAATAATATATATTGATATCATTAAAATCTAAATTTTAGTTCCTTTAGTTATCTTTCTAATATTTCATTATTCATTAATGATTCAAAAGGTATCAAATGAACTACTCTTTTAATTATTTTCATTATCCTACCTAAATAAGGTGAATAATAATAAAATAATAATCCTTAAATACTTATTGTTAGAAGGCCAAATGATAGTGATAAAACCTAAAATAATATATTAACAAAATACAGTCAAAAATAATTTTAAATCATCAAACTATTCTTTTAGACTTTTGTTGAATTGATTAACTAAAACAAAAAATATTCTACTAACTATTTGTGAACCTTCTTATTCATAATATTGCATTTCAACTCTATGAGTAAAATTGTTAATTTCTTATTAAGATTTTATTAAATTGGACATATAATTCAATGTTACAATCATTCCCTTAGCAAATGATCCATCAAAAGATAATCCACAATATACAGATGATAAATTTTTAAATTTCTAATAATAATATAAAATAATTACTTCATCAATTTGTTCACAAAGAGTATTCCTATTAATATTGTTAAACAAATCTATGAAATTTTAATCAATTAAATAATAATCAAAATTTATAGTGTTTGATATTTAAATATAATTTGAAATAGCATTTTAGGCTTTATCAATTAAATAATAAAGTTCTAATTTATTATTTTCTGTAAGAAAAGTAAAATTCTCCCATCTGAAAAATATTTCTCTGTATAAGAATAAATTACCTGATCTCAGTTTCATTTCTTAAATTTTTTCATATAATTATAAAGTATCATCATATTTATTAAAAAATAGTGATGTAGAAGTAATGCTTAATAATGAAAAAATAAGAATAATAGATAATAAAAATATAAGGAATGCTATATTAAAAATTTTAATTAAGCTTCTAGTTTTATTTATGGCTGAAAAGTTTTATTTATATTTCTGATTCTGATTTTAATGTTTTTGAGAATGCAAAGGTTTTTTTAAATGTTATTATAATTGATGTTCAGGATTATACATGAACAATATATTAGAATTAAGTTTTATTGAATCTATTAAATCATTAAATCTTTAAATTTCATTATTCAATATTGGTTCATCTATTAAAAATATCAATTAGATAAATTTATCTAATTATTGAAAAAATTCAATCTAAAAAAACTACAAATATATATAAAATATTATTAACACCAAATCAAAAGCTATCCATAAAATAATCAATTTATAATTCATATTCTTATGCATCTAAATTGCATAATCATACATTGAAATTTTTAAACTTTCACATTCCTTATGAAGCATAAAATAATTAGCAAATAATGATATTTAATATGGTTATCCAGATGTACTACCTCGATGATTAAATGTTATCATTTGAGCATGTTAATATTATAAAATAATAAATAATGCATCTCTAAAGGAAATTTCAACAGCATAAATTTCTTATTCATTCTTATTCATGAAATTCATCGTAACCTTCACATCATCTAAAAAGCTTTTAATATATTGATTATCTAGTTAATCATATAAACTATCTCTTAATTCTGTGTATCCTAATTAAATTGACTCATAATATGGTTCAGTTAATTAAAATAATTAATTACTTGGTAGAAAACCTTCTCTATTCATTTATTAATAGCCAGTTATTGTTACTCTCATTGAAAAAAATAAATCATGAGGTCCCATTATGGAAGCATAAAAAGAAGTCATAAATCCAAAAGATAAAAGGTCATCTAAATCATTTTTAAGTTCTATATATTATACTATTATAAAAATAATAAATAATAAAAACCAAATACTAAATAGAACCATAAATTTCTTTTAGTATCTAGATGGACTAATAGATAGAATTTATTGAAGTAATTCATAATTCTAATGAATTTTATCTTATTCATCAGAACTTTCTTTTAATCTTAAAATAGGTGATTTGAATTAAGAGTTTTCTTTATCATCAATGCTTTAGATACTTTATTGATTGATAAAACTTGGAGATTTGATATCCTATTTAATTAAACTATTTCTTTGAGTTATTAATTATTATTCACTTTAATTTATAGTTTCCTCTCTTCTTGAATTAAGAACTGGAGAATTGTTAACAAATATTATAGGATTTACTTAAAAAAGTAAGGGTTTAGATATATTTTAAATAGATCCAATTTATTATTAATTTATAAAATTTACACTATTTAAATTTCCAATATGAGGTGAATCATCTTATTAATCTACAATACAATCTAAAAAAAGTGGTTAATTTAAAGATTCATTTTATTTAATAGAATTTAAGGATAATCTTTAATGAATTTATGATAATTCTCTACCTCTATTGAATTCAGCCATTTTTATTATATCCAATATAAAATAACAATAATTACCAATTTACTTTCTTTATATTATTATATCACATTCTATACTATATAATCTTAAATTTTATCTAGCTTTATCAGGAGATATTTTAATTTCACATTAAATTGATTCAAAACTACTTTAAGGTGAAGGAAAATACATATTTACTGAACTTAATTTAATCTCATTTTCTTAATGTTCCATTATTATTGTTGTAAAATTTGGATATATTGATGATATTTCAACTTAATTAAATTCTTTTAAAGCACTTAAATATTTTATTTCAGACTCTGACCATCCTATTAATATAAGTAAATTTTTTGTAAATATGCATTTCATATTTGATCCATCAATAACTAAAAATGCTTTATCTTGAGTTGCTTCTTATAAAAATACTGCAAATGTGATATTCTTACTTTTGAATAGATTAGTCATAGAATGACACATATTTACAGTTGTTAATATATTTTAATTATTCATTATAAAATTAATCTGGAAAGCATTATAATATTTACTAGTTCCATTTTCAAAAAATTGTTTAACATATAAATTATGATATGGAATCAAAAAATCTGGTAATAAATATTCAAAAGATCTTTACTTTTCATTAATTGATCCATAATTATCATAAAAGTTTTGAGATTATCCTATTAAAGTTAAATTTTACATATCATCACATAATTCCAATATTGCAAAATGTACATTTTTTTGATTTATATTAAAATTTATTATTTATTAAAATTTATTTAATTCTACTTCTAAACTTTTTGAATTTTTATAAAATAATATTGATTTATAATAATTAGATAATATCTCTCCTTAAAAAAATGTATATAAACCATGAATTTTTTAATTAGGTGTGTTTTTAAATTGAAATTTTAAAAGTTTATTAACTTCATACACTTATTCACATAATTAATAGAGTTATTTATTAAAATTAATTTCATCTTAAGATTGTGCACATGTGTTCTTTAAATTATGATATAATTTTAACTTTAACATAAGAGTTTCCATTACTTTTCTTTCTAAATATCTTATCAGACTCTCTGATTTTAATGATTTTTCAATAAATTCCTATATCATTGATTATTAAGTTGCTTATAATGATGATCCTATAAGTGAAGAGCTAATCTATGATTTTCCACATTACACAATAAATTTCATTTGAACTTTTGTTATGTAATCTAATTGTTAGAAATTGTTAATTTTCTATAGACCATATTAGTCAAAATTGTTATCATTAAGTAATAATTAATTTTCTTAAAATTTATACTTACTAGGAGACTAAATCTATTGTTAGTAATATGGTTATTAATAGGGTTATTTATTTTAAAAAAGATGATCAAGAATCTTTATTGATCTAATTATCCATCCAAAATCGAATAAGAAATAAGCATATAATAAAGTATAATCTCTTTAATTTGATCTGTTATTATTTGCAGTATATTTTTGCAAAAAACAGGAAATCATTTATTGAACAAATTATTTATACATCTCATTTGTAATACCACAACATTATTCAGGGTTTTAAATAGAAAGATGATTGCAAAATGTACATAATTTAGATTTGCATCGTGAAGTATGCCATTTTGCTATTAAGATTTTAATTATTAAATCTTCCTTTTAGAAATATATTTCATTATTTAAAATGAATATCAATCCAAATCTTAGATAATTTAAATTAGTTTTGCTAGTCTTAAATAATTCTAACATTTATTTTTTTTCATTTTTTTAATCCAAATTTAGTAGTATTTTCAATATCAATGTAAATATAATCAAACAACATAGTTTTAACAGTTATGCATTAAAAGTGGATACTATAAAAATAGATAAACTTATGGATAAGTTTATTGAAATTGCAATAATTAATGAATATTTTTAATAATGAAGGATGTAATTAAAATGAATAAACAAATCCAAAATAAGAATTAATTATTAACATAATAAAATAGCACTTAGAATATATTCAACATGAAGTTAATCAAACTCTATTACAATAATTGATTGTATTATGATAAATACATAATATATATATCTGTATATAGTAATTCCTAGTTTTTCTAATCCATATACTTTATTTGTAATTGTCGATTCATTTATTATGATTGTTCCTATAGAATCAATTATTAAAAGTATCATTGTTAAAATATTTAATGTAACCAGTAAAAATCCATAATTTTCTAATTATTCTAATTATTTTGATAAGCATGTTAAACAAATGAAGTTCATTTCCAAAAATAAATAAGATCCAATTAATTATTAATAGATATTAAGGTAATAGCAAAAAATTTTAGGGAAAAAAGAATTTTCAGCTAGTTTTATAAATTTTTATGATTTTTCCTAAATAAAATAGTATTAGGTAAAAATAATTAATCCAATTTTGTGAATTAAAATAAGAAATGTTACTATAAAAAATGCATATTCAACATAATTGCCAAATATGAAAATTAATTTTATTGATGGTCTAAATAAAATCTCAAGTATTTAATAAATATATGTATTGCTATGATTATCCAAATTTTCCATTCTTAATGTCAAAGTTGAAGCTAAATTTGTATTTTGCAATTCAAAAATAAAACATAAAGGTTACAAGTTAGACATAAATATCAATAGTCCACTAATTTTTTTTGAAAAATCAAATTTAACCTTCAAAACATACATTGCAATGATTAAATTTTAGAAGTTAAATGTTTGATTTTCTTTTTCCATTTATTTATTTATGAATTATAAATATTACTATAAATTACACTATCAATATTTCTATGTATATAATTAATATTAAATTGAATAAAAACTTATATGTATATATCTTAAATATTTAATTCACAATTTCTATTATTAGTATTTTTTTTTTTATATCAACTAAACCAAAATTTCTAATCTGATTAGAATATAATATTCATTTTTATATAGATATTCAATCTTTCAGAAGAATTTTATTGTTTTTCTAGAGTTGTATTCTAATTTGAATGTTAGAAGATAACTAAAATCTTATATGTTATTTTATTACATCTTAGAGTTTGAGAAATTATAAATGAACAGAACGTTAATAAATTTAAGGATTAATATTAACTCCAATACGTAAATCATTTTTTTAGATTTTATGAATAAATATGACTTTAATGATAAGTAGTAAATTCTCAGTTAATTTGAAATTGAAAGAGCCTAATTTTATTATTTCCAATATAGATAATGTTTGTCTGATTTTCATAATATGATAATTCCAATAACAATTTAAACAATTATAAATTTAACTCCAATAATTCAAGATCACTTTTATTAAAACATATTTAATGCATTTTTTGATATATTTAATTTATGTTAATAAAGAAACCTGATAGGATGCATATTATTTGTTTAATTAAAAAAATGTCAAAAATGTTTAATCTAAATTTAAACTTTATGACGGAGAAATCTAGAATAATGATTAAAGAAGTTTGAGAAATGAAATGCATTAAAATTTATTTGGGATTCAGACTCAGAAAGATTAAAATCATCATATAAATGAATTTAATTTAATACTAAAATATTTTATTAATAAATATGAACAATAGTCAAAGAGGTGTAGAAAATAGACCAAATTCATAGCAAAATTCTTAAGATATTTTTTAGTAGGAAATTCAAATCAATCAGATTTCACAAAACAATAATAACACAGTGAACCAACTTATTCAAGTTCTTAATAACTAAACAAACCTTCCTATTGATTAATTCAAAATAGTAGTTGATTCTGTTGTAATTGATAAGTAATTTTTGCTTTTAACATTAAACCCAAAAGGAAAGTACTTTTAAACTTTGAGAAAACTCATATTATTAATTGTTGGATTCTTAACCCTTCAGTTTTATTAACTTCTATATCTCTTCACATAGGATTAAATTATTTAAGGTCATGATGATAATCATTCAAAATTAATGTATTGATATTTGAAATTTAGTTTACGACCCCAAGAGCATATTAAGAATAAGAACTCCTCCAGAAGTCATTTATATTTAGAAGAATAAATAGATTAACTTATACTAGTAATTGCGATTAGAATTATTTACATAGTAATATCTTACATTATTGTGTATGGTATCAAGTCTCTATCTTTAAATTATTCAAATAAAAATGTATATATTTTATCTATTTAAGTTATTATTATTCTTTCTTTTACTTATATCAGGGACTTATTTTATTCAAGGAACTCAATGTAATTTATATCCAAATTATGGATCTTTACATTTTGAAGATATTGGAAAAATTAATAAAACAAAAATCTATTTGGATAATTTGATATTCTTTGGTTGTTTTTTTGTACAGGGTATGTCATCTGCCAGCATATTTTATTTATTGATGGAATAAGTTTAGTTTATGTTGAAGAAAAATTAAAGATTAATCTTTTATAATGAATTTCTATTAATAATTGTGGAATTTATTGTAGTTTCCTCTGTTTTACATATGATATTTAAAGAACAATACATTTTTAACCTCATTATAATGTGGATTCCATTTTCTTTAATTACTTTGTTTGCTTATTTCACTTTATAAGATTCACCATTATGCATTTTAAATCGTATTTCACATTATGAAGAAATCTCTAAATAAAATTAATAAAATCTAAAAAAATAATAAATTGCCTTAAATAAGATTGAAATCTTATCAACAGAATTTTATTAAAATATGAATTCCATCTATTCAGCAAATTTTCCAAATAGAAATTATTTTAATGAAGAATAAATTTCATTATTAATTAATAAATTTTAATTCAAAGTAATTAATAAATAGGAATCTAAATCTACAATTAATTTCATAATGTTTGCATTAAGTTTATTATATTTTGGACATTTGTTTAAGCTATATGCATTTATTAATCAATTGCAATGGACAATTGAGACATTAGCTTTGATATTATCCATATTTGAATTATTAGGATATTTTATTGGTAATTATTGTATCAGTGAATTATATAATGAACATTTATTAAGGAAGTTATTGATGACTTTTGGATTGATTAATTTCTTAAGTTCTCTGCCTAGTTTTCAATCCATACATAGCTAATTTTAAAGTTAAGTAGAGTTCTTTTCCATTTTAATTGTTAGACTATTGTTTTCCCTCGCAATAAAGGCATTTTTAATGTAATAAATTAATTATATATAGATAATTCTCTGATTATAAACTAAACTTCGGGTTTTTGGTTTTAGGAATATTACTTGCTAACATAAACTTGTTATAGATTCAACTATTTTAAGTGGTAATTGCAACTATTCTTTTGTTAGCTTATCATTTATCTAAGCGATTTTGAATAGTATCTAAATTTATTTAATACTTAAAAATTATAAAAGTTATATTATAAATCATACAAGTCAAAAATATCCGATTATCAGAAATATTTATCAATAGAATATGGTAATTGTTTACATATTGGCCAGACCTTTGTTTTGTTCATTGGCATTTTTAGCCATTTTACAACACAAACTTAATGAAAAGTATGATACCATATATATAAATATTCGGCAACTAATTCTTTTATTCTGAATTCTTCATAATATATAGGACAGATATCAAGTGTAAAATGTTTAATTTTTTAAATTTAATTGTAGCACATAAATTACTAGTAAAGAATAAAAGAGTAGAAACAAATATGAACATTAAAACCATGCTACAAAATATGGCAAATAATCATTCATCAAGTTATCAATGTAAAATAAACATAAAATAATGCTAAGAAGTAAATTTATGGCATCTTGTATGATTAGGTACTTCCTTGATGAATTTGGAGCTATTAGCAATCTTTGTATATTTTACATTATTATTATTAAAATTGCAGATTTATTAGAATTGCTTTATTAATAATTTTTATTATGCCATATTTCTTTAAAACATGTATCATTAATAAATCAAAGTATATACATCATATAATTGAAGATCTAATTTTATTCTTAAAATTAGAAATCAAAAAATAATTAAATTGATTTACATTAAATATTTTGTAAATATAATAACTAATGGTAAATTGTGAATCAATATAATTAGTAAAACGAATATCCAGAAAGAGCATAACCATTAGCTAATGAGGAAGTTGAACCTCAAATTTTAGAACTTGTCTAATAAGCAGCTGCTCTAAAATAAGTATAAATTTGGCATAAATCATTAGTTAAAAAAAGGAGCTAATGAAACCACAAAAACTTTAAATAGAGGTATAGCTGAGCTTGTCATTATTGCAGCTGATACAACACCATTAGAAATAGTACTTCATTTACCTTTACTTTGTGAAGATAAGGTAAATTCTATAAATTTAATCAATTAGAATGTTCCATATGTATTTATTAAGAGCAAGGTTGATTTAGGTAGAATGTGCGGTACAAGCAGAAATGTAGTAGCATGCTCAGTGATTAAGGATAAAAACTCAAGAATTAATGAAAATATCACATACTTAAAAGATTTATGTGAAAGATTATAAATCAACTAAGAAGCATGATCATATTAAAATATTTGATGAACATTAATAATTTATACTTTTATTGTAAGTAAATTAAACAGATAATATATGTCTGATGAATTATTTAACCATAATTATCTATAAACTAAATAAATTAACATTAAAGAAATTAATAAATTAAATCTGCTTTTCTAAAATATATCAATAATTTTCGGCCTTCTAATTCTATGAAGTATTATAATGAATAATTAAGAAATCAGTATTCCCCTTTTAAATCAAAATTGCCTAATTTCTGTCACCTACTTTAATTAATTAAAAATATATAAATTTTTACAATTTATAAAAAATGTTGACGGCGAGGTTCGAACTCGCGCCCTTTCGGAATGGAGCCTTAATCCACCGCCTTAGACCACTCGGCCACGTCAACTTGTATTACTAATAACTTTCAGAATGGCATAAAAAGGGTACAATTTTTGAAACAAAAATACTTAGTAAACAGTTAATAAAATGAGAAACTCTAATAATTTAAAAGAATTTAATAATTATGATCATATGTTGACAATAATTAATAAATCCAGAATTTTAAATATTTTATCTTTATTTTATTGTTGATCTTCTTTTTAATTTATTATAATTGTTGATAATAATAATAATAATATTAATAATAATAATAATGTTATTTCTTTTTATAATTGTTAGGTAATGAATTTAAAACATTAATAGTTTATCATACGCAGCAACATTAATAAAGCCGGTGACCATAATTAATGTAATTAATGGATATCTAGTTATAGCCATACGATTAATTGTGTAGCGGTGCTGGAGAATGTTGTGCATGTTCAAAAACAGGGTATTGTTCTTCGAATCAAACGTGTACATGTGCTGCATCTTAAGGAAGTCAAATGTCAGGCTAAACTTGTTTGTTGAACTCAACAGAAAATTCAGCTGTTGAAAAATAGTTATCAAATGGAGCTGATGAATCATCAATAGCAAGGTTTAAAAGATGAACAATATTAGCTTCTCTGTTATCTAAGTTTATGATTTATTGAATAGGAATTCTACTTTGACATATAAATAATTATTTGCTATATATGAATTAGGACTATCTATAGCTAAAAGTAGTGTTTAGCAAAGTGAAATAAATTGGTTTTTAAAAAGCATTGAATTCATTACAAAAAAATTAAAAGCAATCTAAACATTAGAAGTAAGTGCTCTTCAGACATTTTAAATACAAATAATTGATTTAATTAGATCCTTGATGTTCAAATATATTGATTTAGACTCAAAAAAAAATCCGATCTTCTTTGAATAAGGTTATTTCAGTGCTATAATAGCTAAATGGAAAGATACAAGTAAAATTTTCAATTTTAACTTCTCTTAGTTAATTATTCTAATATGAAATTAAACTCAAAATCAATTCAATCAGCTTAATGCGAATACAAATATAAATCTGTATTGATTAGGGTATTATAATGAAGATTAATTATAGTATAAACTAGTTCTAGCAGTTTCAAATGATATGATAGATGCATTCACAAATTCTACATTTACTTATAATTCTACAGTTACATATTGTTAATTTATGGATAAATATGGAGAAATTTATTACCCTCCTTCTTCTGAATTTCATTATTGGCATTATGTGCCAAATTTTGATTATGAGCCATTATTGGAAATGTCTGATGTGATAGGATTAGGATGTTTTTAAGTAAATTCTAAAATATTAATATAGATTAAATTATCCAATTCAGTTTATGGTTTGGCATACAATAATTAGGATTGTTAATATAAAGAAATAACTTCATCAAGACCAGTACCTTATTGTTAATGCAACGAACCTGGAATTACTTTTGTTTAAGTTTTATGGAATGATGAAAAGATAGCTTAACTTGCCTTGACTGCAGGAACATCAAATTCAACTAATACGACAGATTCTTATGGAAAATTATTGATCATTATATATTTAGCTATATAAATGTTATTATGATCATAATATTATATTCAAAAATTCTATCTATTTATTTTATTACAAGAAAAATCAAATGTTGTGTTTTGTTTTTGAATTTAATGAGTGTTTTGAATTTAAAAGGTTCTATTGTTCTATGTACCTGTTCGTTTATAAGAAGTTCTTCGTTAATTATCTTTTTCTTAATCACTAAATCGATATTCCATATCTTTAAACCCTTTTTATTTTGAATAATACATTTGAGGTCTTTTGGTTGATTTCTAACTAAGTCCTCTAGCTTAATCTAAAGGACTGGATTAGATTATTTAAAGGATTTATTCCCACTTAAATTGATCCAAGGTTTCAATATTGTTCTTTAATATTTATAACCTTTATTTCCTATTCATACTATCTCTGTATAATCTTTGAAATATATCCTATTGCTAATCTACAGAATGTTCTTTATTATTTGATGATAAATAAGATATTTTTTCAATTTAATCTTTAACTCTTAAAGAGGCTTAAAGTGGTGTTTATGGAGTTTTAATTTGTAGTCTATTTTAATCATATAATAATTGAGATTCATAATCTTTTTTATTAAAATCTTCTTTTGTGAATTTCAAAGAATTTCTTTAAAAAATGAGATATGTGTTATCTTAATTTAAAATATTCTAATTCTAATTTTCTATAATTTTAATTTCATGTTTATTTTAGAATTATTATGTATCTACTTACTATTCAGAAATTTCTTCTAATAAACATAATTAAGAGGGAGTTTAAACTGATCTTAATTGATCTTAATGTAGCAAATTGCTTTTACAATGAGAATTAGATTATTATTATTATATTGTAGAAATTGATTCAAAAAAGCATTGTACTTCTACTTCTTTTGTGACTATTTCTCTTTTAATTTAATATTCAAATTCTGTATTTGTTTATTTATGAGAAGTTTCATTAACAATCAATTTTAATTTCATTATTTTTTCAATAATTTCATAATTTAAAGAATTATTTTGAATTGGAGTATTAACATTTAAAATAATAGTTTAACAATATTTTGACCTACTTTAGATATTTTAAAACAAAACCTCTTGTTTAGATAATTACTAATATTACTATAAAGCAATTTATTAAGATAAATGCTCTTTATTTTAATCAGATTGTTTTAATTTATATTCAACCATCTTTATTTAGTTTTTGTCTAATTTGTCAAAGTTTATTTATTTTGAATCAAATAGGCGATATAATTATTGATAATGCAAACAAACAACTTAATATTTTAATTACAATATTTTATAATTCTCTTTTGATTGATTATATTATTACTATAATAAAGAAATTTCTAAGTTTAATATTTATTCAACCTTTTATTATGTTAGAAATTTATATTCCCAATATATTTGATTATATTTATCATTTTCATATATTTACTTTAATTCCTCATATTGAGTTTTAAGAATGTTTCTTTTCTTCTTTTTTTTATTTTTATATTCTTTTAATTTATCTTCAAAATCTTTTCTCCCTAAAATAATTTCCTTAATTTCTTGTCTTAATAAGAATTAGTCTCGAACAGTTTTCACACATCTTAACATTCGATTAATCAATATCCATTTATTGAACATCACTTTAACCTTATATTAATCAAAATTGATTTTTATTTCATTTAATTCATTAAATTAACCAAACAATTGCTACAACACTATTATAAGAAATAATTTACTTTCGTTTTTTCTATGTGATAATGCAATTTCCATTTACTCTCTACTTGACTTTAAACAATCTTAAACTATTTCCTTTTAATGATTTTTTTGTTTTTCAATTAATTCGTTTTTTTCATCTATTTCTGCTTATAAATCCTTAATATAATTAATTTATCTATCTACAAATTACGACAATTAATCCTCCAATTACTATCTATAATGTTATACTTCTCTTTATTAAGACTTGCATTGTATTATCAACTTATCGATTTCTCTATAATTAATCCCATAAGTATGCTTTTAATTTTCAAATACTTAAAAGAAATACTAATTTCCTTTTAGATCTTAAATATTCTTCCAAGTAATGTAAGGATCATTATTATCCATTTAGATTACTTTTGCTAATAAACCAGCACTGGTATCATGAATTTTGAGTTTGTCTTTGATCTTATCTATTTATGCAACATATTATTTATTTTCAGTTGATATATGTTAGATTGTTTATGTTAACTCAAGATATTTGTGTTCAAATTGTTACTGCATACTTTTAATTTTTTAGTTCAATAGATTTGTTTATTCTTCAGTGAAACCTTCTTTAGAATCAAAATATTGAACTTCAAAAATATTCAATTATTAATCATTTTTTCTAAATAGTAATTCCTTCATATGTTGAACGTCCTTTAAATATCCCTGAGTCATATCTTTAATTATGTTATCTTTACAATCTAATTTGATTTATAATTCTTTTAATTTTTGATTTCTTAATTCCAGTTCCTTTTACTATTCTTCATTTTAGTCACAAGATTATTATGTTTTAACTTCAACATGAGGATGATATGTCGATTTCATGGTATTGAAACGATAAAAGTTAACTTCTTCTTATATGTGTTCATCCTCTTAATCTTAATTGTATTGTAATTTTTGCAATTTCATCAATAGACCATTAAGTGTTTCATTTGAGTTTTGCTGAAAATACTTTCTCAACCTTTAATAAAAATATATGCATTAATGCTTGATGATTTTACTTTTATCTAATTAGATCGCAACAGTGCTTCTGTTAAAAATGCTCCAACCGACATTTAATAAAATTTGATAGAATATATTAATGATGTGTTATGATGACAAACTTTGTTACTAGATCAATTAAACAAACTAATCTATTAACTGCTCAAATAGATTTTAAGTGTTAACAATTTATTAACCTTCATTCTATTTTGGAGGAGAATTAGGTTCTTCTTTTAGAGTAACTTATCTAACCAGGTTTTTAGGTCTATAAATAGGGACATCCTTTAGTTAAATGCATTCGTCATCCATTCTAATAATTTAATTTATATTTATTTTGAAATAACAAATACTTTTATATGATATTAAATATGATTGTAGTTTTAATTTTAAATTAATCCTTCATTCTCATTGTAATAAAATTAATAATGAATATTTAATAAGCCAAAAGAAGTTCAATGATCCAATAAGAAAGTCATAGAACTCAAAATAATTATCCACTTGAAATTTAAAATAAAAAATATATTATAATAACTAATGATAGGCATTCTGGTTGTATTGATAGAATATAAATTTTAACATAAGAGTAAGATAGAATAAGTGAAGCATTATGAGAAACTAACTAATAAGGCTTTAATTTATAACAACAAATATGGAAACTAAAAGTCATTTAGGTAAATATTAAATTATCATCTAAAGCCATCCTCTAATGATGATTTATTTAAAAAAATCTAATTTGGATGATAAAAGCTGGATTAATTTAAATAGAAAAAAAGAAGAAAAACTAAATTAAATGGAAAATGAACTTAATATATTACAGAAAGACCTATAGGATGAAAGGATATAAAAATTAGACTAAGTCAATCTCTATCAATAATAATTAGAAGAAGTTGTGAGATTGTAAAAAAATGACCTAGAAACATTTAGCTAGTAAACAAATCAATTTTATCTTCAATTTGAAGATTTATAAAATGAAAATTAGGATTTAAAATCTAAAATTAATACTTTTTAAATTACAATTCTCTAACAAAAACAACAGATTGCACTTCTTGAAGATTAATTAAATTAATTATAGTCATACTAACTTTCTCTCAGATTCCTCCTTCTTATTAGTTACCTTAAATTTAATATCAATAATCAAAACCCTAATCTTCTAATTATCAAAAAGTAATAAGATTTCAAGTAGAAAACAAGGAAACTAATAAACCAACAGAAGTAAAACGCAAGTGATTCAAACTCTTAATGGTACAACTGATGATTATGAATACTCATCAATTTAAGACCCAAATAACCCCAGAAAATCATTAGCTTCAAGATTAGATTAAGTAAATATTCAACCATCCTCAAACATTGATACTAGAAATTCCAAACTTCAAAATAATATTTCATAATCCTCATTTTAAAGAGGCTAAACGTATATTTCTGATTAATATAAAAAAGACTTTATTGATTTGAAGCATAAATTGAGAATAACCTGTAACAGAGTACAAATCAACTGTTTCAACAAGTAATAAATATTCTAATTATTGAGGTATTATTATTTTCATTACAGTATTTTTATTTTTTTATATAAATCAATTCATTTTTAGTAAAGAGAGCCAGATATTTACCCTAGATTTTTTTTTAGCATCTGAAAATTTACAACTAATACTAGTAAAATTATGATTATATTTAAACTAGATTAAATTAATAAATGGAAAAATAGGTAAATTTAATGGATATTATAGATTTTAATTAATTTATTGCTATATTTAGGAATGAATAATATAATTATAT